TTTTTACACTTTATAACTTTTTATAAAAAAAAAAAAACAGGTTTTATCTACAAAGTTGAACACTAGCTTGGCTCTATAAGGTTCTTTCTGTGAGTCAATCAACATTGCAAATGCATGCACGAGAACTGATCAGGATCAGCTTTCTTTGTTATTTTGCCAGACTGCTTCGTTGACAGTGAGAAAGACCAGAAAGAAACACAAAATCAAAGTCGACTAAATAATGCTGCACCACACAAAATTGAGAATGTGTAAATGTGATGATTTAGAAGCTTTTTTATACATTGAAATTAAATGTAAAACTTTTTAAATTTCATATTAAGCCTTAAAGGGCAAATACTTAATTTAATTATTAGGTCATAAAATTCAATAAATAATTCAATAATTCACATAAAGCATATAATTCAATAAAAATAACCATATTATTACATAAAATTAGCAGGTGCACTGGATAAAATATTTAGCACAGCTTTATATGCATTTGAGCAAGAAAAAATATTCATCCTTAAACATGAAATATATGTTATAGAAAGCAAAATTTTCACTTTCTCAAGCATCAACCTATTGTTTCAACGTTAGTTTTTATTTTTGTGATTGTATTTATTCATAAATAATGCTTCAATGAATTATCTGCCTGACAGAACCTTTTAATTCAATGACTTTTTAAAATAAGAAGCTTCTATCTGCATCTACCCTAAGAGAATTTTGATAATTTACATTTAGAGTACATTTATGGTCTCGGTCATGTTAATGTATTGAAGAGAACTGTTACACGCATATTGTTTGCTACATGGAATGCAAAAACTTTAAAGCTCAATATCTCAAAATCATTTAGAACACAGATAATTCCAAGGTAACGATTTATGTAAACAAACAAACAAAAAAAAAAAATGAATCCGTGTTATTGCATGAGTTTATTTCTTGCTATGTCATACAGAATAGCTGCAATACAGAAAAACAATGTCAATTGTGTAGTGATGTTTGTTATTTCAAAACTTCAGCATTATCATTTCTTAAGAGACAGCATGTTCATGTTCACTGAGTGTGTAAATAGAATGACACATTGCCTTCCTTGGTTGCACAACCCTGGGGAGGCATTTAAAAGAAATTCAAAATCAGCAAAATTAATCATCTTCTTGCAGACAATCTTGTTTTCATAATGATGTACATCTGAAGACTTTGTGTGATGGTCAGATACACTTAAAATAATTATTGCAACGCAATTCATTCTCCTTTTTTTCTTAAAAAAAAGCCATGTTCTTTCCTATAAACCACCAAATATATCGAGATTAATGATACAGTCTGTAAATGGCAGAACATTAGTGAAAGTGCTTGAATGACCAGCTTCAGAATACAGCAGCACTCCCATCTAAGCATGTTGACTCAGCAGGATGTTCAAAGCAAGACTTGGTTTACAGATTGTTTCTTTAAAGGCTGGTGATGTCTCAGATGTCCATTTAGCCCTCAGATGATTTTTGTATAATATTTTGCACCATGTTCTGAGTTTAAACTGAACAGGAAACTATATCCGAATGATCAGCTATGCTTACTGTCTGCCTGACTTATTTACCATTTTACACTGACCAAAGCCTCTGCAGTTTTTTTATACAGAATGTGAGAAGATGGCCAACAACCTGCATATAAAACAAAAGGATTTTCATAGTTTGTCCTGCTTGAACAAAATAATAACAGTGCTTAGGATGTGCTTACACAACAAATAATTGTAGGTTTGTAATATATATTTATACAACAGTTCTTTCTGGTTCTCGAATCTGATTGGCTGATAGCCGTGCGATATTCTTCAATATCAGAACTCATACAGCCTCCTCTCCCTTCTGTATTACTCCGCCCACATAGTGACAGCAGATCAATAACTCACTATAATTTGACAAATATTGCAGCTGTTGGACAACACAATGTACTTCTGAGGCTTTTTTAGGCGAGAATATAGTCTAGATCGCAACTATGCAGTTCATTTATAAGGATAGTGACTATTTTAAATATTTATAATTTCAGAGATCAGCATCATTGTCAGGACAGTATCAGCCTGTCATACTGAGCAGAGCAAAGATGGTTCCGCCACAAGATGGAGACAGAGACCGCATAATAAGCCCTTAGAGGAGGAAAAACTCAACGTAATTTCAAATTTCACAGCTGATCAAATCATTATAAAACAGGTAAGTGACTTTCTAAGTCAATCTCTCTCTGTTGTATGTTGTAGTGCTGTATTTATACCATAATAACCTGGTAGTGTTTTTGGTAGTGTTATCTTTGCTTCGGCTTTTTCGGGGGTTAACTATTGTGATATCCTGATTGAAACCGAAATACTAAGAAATGTCTCTAGACTGATGACATTTCATGCTGTTCAGCCTTACAATTTTAAAATGTGAGCAAAATCAGCTGTTTTGCCATCACTTTAGACATTACGCTAGAAAATCATTTAAATACTAGCTCTAAAGTGACATCTGTGATGTAGCATCGGTTTCTGTTGTCGGCTGGTCGCATATGGTTTAGTTGCAGGAGTTGCGTATCTGAGCCTCGAATCCCATACAAAGATGATCAGAACTTCACGCAGCTCACAAACTACTCTTCATTTAAATTAATGACTTCCGGTCTGTCGCTTGTTGTTTGTCATGTTCAGTGGCATAAGCCTCATTCACACTACGAGTGACTTACAGCGGCAAATCGACACGTGACCGTTCATTTCAACTGAGACTGAGCAACTTCCAGGAACCTCCCAAAGGTGTATTGTCCTGCACACTACTGACGGTTTGGAAGAAGCTGTCCACATGAGCTCCGTTTCAAGGCTGCAGTTCAATATCATAAAAGTGACAATGCAAATTAGCAGGCTTTCACAAATAACGTTAAAGCCATTTCACAAGAATCATCACCAGTGTCAATTTATATATCGAGACATTTTAATAACCCTAATGATAAGACGTTTTTTGTCCTAACTTGCATTGCTATCCCAACATGGGCTCATTCTGAAAATGTAGCCCTAAATACTTTTCTGGAAATCGCAAATTATGTAGCCAGAAGTACGTATGGCTGCATTTCGTCTTTAAAATGAACGCTAGGGGGTGATATGACGCTGTCCCTTTTCACACTTACCAGCTGACAGCGCTTATCTCTGTGTGGATGGCTTTTCCGCTGTTACCAGTTTGTCCAGTAACTTGACGCATACGTTGGAAGAATCTAGATGCAGAGCAGAGTTGACCATGAGAACGGGGTTCGACCCTAACACTACGAGGCAGAATGATGCCGTACGGACGGCTTTCCCGCTGTTAGCAGTTTGCCCAGTCACTTGCTATCTATGTCAGCAAACTCGAGAGGTAGTTGACCATGACAACTGGGTTTGAATCTGGTGGAGAACAGTTCCAGAAAGCGTGTAAGAAAAAAACAGAAGCCAAAAAGTTAAATAATCAAGTAAATAACAGGGTGGGAATGTGGTAAAATCTAAAAAAATCAAGCAAGGGCTTTTATTTTTCTTGATTGCTTTTTAAAACTATCGGTTGGGTTTAGGAAAGTAGGTGGGCGGGTCAATCGATGCTTTTAAAAACACTATTGGTTGGGAAGGATGAGGGTGGGTCAGTCGATCTGTCAGTTAACTAGTCGACAGCTGCCTCTGGTGGATTTACACGAGAACAGCAGGCACAAATAGCACTCGCGAGAGAAATTTGATGCTGTGTTCACAGTCACACCAGACGGGGAACACGTGGATAATTTGAGTTTACTCGCTTCATTCGCGCGTCAACCACTGCTTCATTCGGGCGTGAAATCCGCTTCATTTGCATGTCAAATTCACTTCAGAACAAACGCGGATTCGCGTGATGGGCAGGGCTTCTGTGTGCCCGGTGACTGTAGCTTCGTTGCTAAATAGCTAACATGGATTTTATGAAGAAAATAAAAGTGTTTATGTACTTTATGAGGGCTGAAAAACAGCGTTGATACGTTTAGGACAGTGTCTGAGTCCACTACATGCTTTCAGAGGTGCATCCAACTCAGTGAGCTCATAAACTCCTCCAGAAACTGAACCTGGATGACGGAGGCTTCAGCGGTGCTTCTGACTGAGCCAAGCCCAGTTTGATGACTTGTTGTCGGTGTCGCCTGGAGGATTTCCCCCAGGACACCATCAACAGGTTCTACGTCACAATCATGCCCCCACAAGAGCAAGCTTCTGATTGGTAAACACGGCAGGAATGTCTGCTGAAGTTCAGATTTTCGAACTCGAGAGATTTGCGCGAAACACTCGTTAAGTGCGTCAAACGCTCAAAACGCTCAATTCGCCCCACGCCATTCGCGCGTATCGTGCCATGCGCACCGCGCCATTCAAACAATTCTCGTCATTCACGCCATGCCATTCGCGCGTATCGCGCCGCAGGATGTCTATTCGCGCGTTTGCATTGACTTAACATGTAAATCACTCGCGCATGACGTGCGTTCCGCGTCTGGTGTGAACGCAGCATAAGATCTCAAAAAAAGTACACAGCAGCCTTTGGTGGATTCGTAAAAACAAACACTGCAAAAAATGGACCTCCTGAGACGTATTTGGCACTGTCCAGAAATGTAAATAGCGGTACGTTTTCAGAATGAGCCTGGTTTGTATTATTCTGTTGTATTATCATTATACATGGACATAAATTGATATTTAATAACAATAAAATTGCTAATCACAATCATTTCTGTGAGATATCATATAAAAATTATGATTTATCATGACAGGCCTATGCCTAGCAGTGAGACAATAAGTCAGCTGTCTAAGCTTTCAAACACAGCCCAAGTCAGAAGATGTAAACAGCTCATAGCAAAACAAGACATGCTGTCACATACAAATTACAGCAATTAAAAGATGACAAGAAGGCAGCTAAACTTGTATTTCAAAACTTAAAAATAGAGTTGGAATGTATATAAACAACCAAATTTTATAAAACGTTCTATTTTTAGATGAAAGCTGTGTTGTGTAAGCACCCCTAAAGCAAAAAATAACTGCAGAAGCTGAGAACATATGTAACAGGATGTATTCAAGCTCTACGTTTGACAAATATACCCCTTAGGGTTCTATTGACATTGTTATTGCATTACGTTTGTAGTCACATCGCAACAAGTCTCTCAGGACCTTACTCATCATTAGCTTGTAAACAAAAATGGCTAACATCATGAGGTGCTAGTCCAACACATTTATGTACGGAATAGCACAAACACACAAGATTTGGCGTATATCAAAATGGACATTACAACAAATCCCTAATCAAAAAGTGATATCACACATATCCTGTGATTGATAGCATGAACGACACTCCGTCAGCACGAAAAAAGTGCAGAAAAGCACACAACTGGCTCTAAATGAGAGCATACATTCAATCATTTCATCTTCAGACTGCACATATTCCATTACCTCATTATGCAAAACAGTTCCATCTACCATTTCCGAATAACATAAATTTGAATACTGATGCAGAGGTAAAGTGCATGATCTGCTAATGTAAGTCCATGTCCACACACCTTAGCTGTGCTCTGAGTTTGTTTGTAGACACAGAATCCATTACAAGTGCTTAGAGCTCATTGAGGGGCTGAATTCTGCAAATCCAAACTAAAGGTCACTTTAATGAGCCTCAGGATTGTTTGTTTGATATGTCCTCCGCTTGGAAACTAACTAGGTTGATGTTTATGTCTGTCAGTCATCTATATATATTTTTTGAAGTCGGAATTAGCATGATTGCTGTATGGTTTGGCTAATCTGATTCTGTTTGAAGTTTTAGCTGTATATGCGTGGCGGAACACTGGTGCCAGTGAGCGATGGGAATCATGCCCTGACTGTTGAGTGGGCACAGGCAGGCATCACTGCTGTGCCAGAAGTGCACTCCGATTGGCCTTCATCTTCTCTAGTCTCTTCGTGAGGTGGCTGTTGCTTGCTTCCAGCTCATCGATTCGGTCAAGTGCAGACCTCAACTGAAAAAATAATAAACACACCAGGGACATGTTACATTACACTCCGATAAATAATTTGGTGGCTTTGTAAATATAAATGTTGATATTTGATGATGAAAATTAGTTCATTTAATTTATTTGAAATAATTTAAGTGATTTTACTGCTTTAACATTTTAGAATTAAATTGTAGTAAATGTTATATTTTACATTATATATGCTGTTTACACACACACACACACCGGCCACTTTATTAGGTACACCTAGTACACCAACTGCTCGTTAACACAAATTTCTAATCAGTTCGAACCAAGCATCAGATAGGGGAAGAAAGGTGATTCAAGTGACTTTGAATGTGGCATGGTTGTTGGAGCTAGACGGCCTGCTCTGAGTATTCAGATCTACTGGGGTTTTCACCCACAACCATCTCTAAGATTTACAGAGAATGGTCTGAAAAAGAGAAAATATCCAGTGAGCGGCAGTTCTGTGGGTGCAAATGCCTTGTTGATGCCAGAGGTCAGAATTGCCAAACTGGTTTGAATTGATAGAAAGGCAACAGTAACTCAAATAACTACTCATTATACCTGAAGTATGCAGAAAAGCATCTCTGAATGCACAACACGTTAAACCTTGAGGCGGATAATCTACAGCAGCAGAAGACCACACCGAGTGCCACTTCTGTCAGCTAAGAAAAGGGAAACTGAGGCTACAATTCGCACAGGTTCACCAAATTTGGACAATAAAAGATTGGAAAAACATTGCCTGGTCTGATGAGTCTCGATTTCTGCAGCAACATTTGAATGGTAGGGTCAGAATTTGGTGACAACAATATAAAAGTTTGGATGCATCCTGCCTTGTATCAACGATTCAGGCTGGTGGTGGTGATGTAATGGTGTGGAGGATATTTTATTGGCACACTTTGGGCCCGTTAGTACCAATTGAGTATTGTCAACACCACTTGAGTATTGTTGCTGACCACGTCCATCCCTTCATGACCACATGAATGCGCCATGTCAAAAAGCGTGACTCAACTCAGACTGGTTTCTTGAACATGACAATAAGTTCACTATATTCAAATGGCCTCCACAGTCACCGATCTCAATCCAACAGAGCACCTTTGGGATGGAGTGGAACTGGAGATTCGCATCATGGATGTGCAGCCGACCATTCTGCTGCAACTGCGTGATGCTTTCATGTCAATATGAACCAAAATCTCTGAAGAATATTTACAGTATCTTGATGAATCTTTACCATGAAGGGTTAAGGCAGTTCTAAAGGCGAAAGGGTGTCCAACCTGATACTAGAAAGGTGTACCTAATAAATAAATCACAATTCTTCCTAAATTTTAAATGAATGTCTTAACACAGTAACATTAGTAGTCATTTAAAAAGGTCCTAAAAACATGTAGCAATTTTTTCAAATAAATTATTTAATTATTTTTATAAATATTTTGGTAACACTTGGTGTATTGGAATATTAGTAGACTGTCTGCTTAATATCTGTTGATACTACTCTTTCAACAGACACTTTAACTTACTATAAGAAACTTTGCAAGTACATATCAACTTACACTAACCCTAACCCCAATCTAACAGTCTACTTATAATTTAATGAGAAGTAGTTGCAATGTAACTTTAATTATACAAATGGATCGTCAAAATAAAGGGACCAATATTTTTTATCTTAGTCTGAATGTCACAATGAAATAGTGTAGCAATAATTGTAAACAGACATTAACATATTTTTATATTAACAAAGAAACTAAATTACCAAAAAACAAAAATGAGTATAAAATAATGCTGAAGATGCCATTTTTTAGTTTTTGGACAAAAATATTGTTTTACTTTTATATGTTTATATTTTACCTAATATTTAGGAAAACATGAAAAAAATTATTATCTTTGTTTGTCCCATTGGTATTTTCAAATAAATAATTTAGAATCTTTCCTCAGTTCAACTCTTTCAGGTTCGTAAAATTGTATTAGGTATTTTTGTTGATTTTACACCTTTAAATTTTAATAAGTATTTCTAAGTGTAAGAATGTTTCATCCAAAAACACAGTACATCATAGAGTATACAGGGTACATCAAAGTTTATAGAGTTTATTTTTTTCAGTAATACAGTACCTCCCTCTGTAACTTCCGCTTCTCCACTTTAAGCTCATCTTCCACTTTCTCTGCAGCCTCAGCTGATGTCTTATAGCGGCTCACCTGACCTTCCAGTCGAATGATCTGGCACATGACAGAGATTACAAGCTCAGCATCAAATACTCATAGATCAAATACTCAGATCATTTCCTGTGCCACAGTAGGAACAACATTAGCAGTGCATAAATGGAGATCAAACTTAAAAGGAGAACTTAACTAACTACTGATGATGAAATTGCATGAAAGACCATGATTTTGAGTTGCCTCTGGACATGAAGTCTTAATTTTATACATGACTTACATTTTGTTCAAGTGCTGTGACTTCTTGTTCAGATTTGACTAGCTTGAATTTCAGGTCACTGATCTGCCTGTTAGCATCTCCTGTTGAAAGACAAAATATTTCCTTAGGTTTTTTATTAAACGCCGACCCACCCCAAAGCATAAGTGGACTAAAGAGACCCAGCTCCAAGTGGGTGGGACTTGAGCTCCAAGAGGACTGTATAAAACTGGAGTTTTTATTTATTTAATGTCTTGTACATGACATGGAGTCTAATCTTGTGCTTTATGAATGTCTACACCTACCCCCGACCCTAAATCCAAAACATTAAAAGCGTAAAACATTTCACCGTGGCGACCCCAGATTAATAAAGGTGCTAAGCAGAAAAGAAAATGAGTGAATGTATGAATAATAATTAAGGTTACACTGTAAAAAATGGCCATGATTTCAACGGCAAAAAAACTGTAAAAATGCAACAGTTCAAATCCGTAAACTGGTTAACAGTATGTTTCCTTAATAGGCCTATATACGGCGAATAACCGTAAATTGACTTTCCCAGAATTCCCTGCATGGCACATCACTTTTTATGCATTTTATTGAGATTAATATGTATCTTTTTAGTTGTTTCCCCATCAGTTATGTACATTAGAGATTTATGTTACATCTAATGTTGATAAACAATGTTTATTTCATGACTTTAATTTTATGTGTTTTACCATACTGGTGTTTAGTAGCTGTGTGAATGACACTGAGCACCTTCTATATGCCAATACTCTTTTCTGCTTGTGGGAAAAGTTGATTGTGATGAGCATTGGCTCATTATGTAACTTTCTCATCACCATCTGCATGTGGGTGTGCTAACGTGTTTAACTGTGTAACAAAAGATATGTAGATGTTGGTCATTCAAAATACAGACATATTACCTCTATAAATTAATAAAATACGGTAGTTTACGGTAAAAATGAGAAATTACTTTTACGGTTTGTACCGTGTTTTTAACGGTAAAGTACTGGCAAACCACAGCTGCCATTTTTTTACCGTAAATTTTACGGATTTATTTTTTACAGTGTAGTGTAGGCTGCATTCACCTGTTTTTATTTTATTCAGCTTTATATCTAATTAAATAGCAAGTAAATCATTACAGTTCAGATGTGCCTTGTTTGTGGCAAGTAGCCATGTAAAAAGTGGGATAAAGTACATCTATCTGGTTGTTTTTGCAGAATAAAGACCTTCAGTTGTACACAAAAACATTGGTATGATGAACTAAATTTATACAGCTAATAAAACTAATGATGAGGGTTTCAGAATTATAGTGTGCAGACAAACAAGGATTGACAGTAAATTTGCCAAGCAGCCCCCAAACATAACTCTGCCCCCTGAAGATTGGGTCTGCACTAATTAAACAAAAAAGCATCTCTGTTTAATTACAAATTGGCTTTTAATGAAGACTTATTGGCACTGAAATATAAAGGTGTCTCTTACTCTGCAGATCTAGGATATGAGGGTCCAGACCATTTTGTAGGTCATCTTCATCTGCGCTTCCTGTCTCTTCTGTGCCATTTTTCTGTTTCTGCTCTGCACTGGCTTTAAGCTTCCGCACCTGAAGGTACAAGCACAGGTCAGTGTTGCTAAAATGTTTTTATGACTAGCATAATAGGTATTTTATAAGAGGCTTTCCCACAATGTCCATTGCATACAATTAAATACACTTGAACAGCATGAAACTAAAAAGCTGACCTGGTCAAGCAAGCTCTCTCTTTCCTCCATGAGCTTCCTCAATCTGATCTCTAAAAGGTACAGCAACAACAAAACACATACAGCATATCAATCTCAGAATCACAGACAGAATCAGACATTGCAACGTACACATTGAGGCAATTTACCGTAGATGTTATAGCACAAACTATACAAAACTGGGATGTCAATTTAAAGATTTTATTATATTGCAATTAATTTGTTTTACTAAGCTATTAATATTTGCAAAAAGTTGTACAATAGATTGCATATTGATTAGGAATGCTAAAGGCATAGTTCACCCAAAACACAAATCAAGATATTTTAAAGAAAGCTGAATATCTGTAATCATTGACTTCCAATGGGGATGCTCATAATAACCGATAAACCGTTAGTCGAAAGATTGCGTTTTTAAACTCATTAATGGTATCAGTTAAATTATTATAAAATATTTGGGATAAGGAGCCAATCACAGTGAACACGCTTTTTTTTGTGTGTGTTGAGAGGGGCATCTTTTGAATGGTTTACTAACAACTGCGAGTGTTTTGCGGCGTCCTAGGTGCCTTGCGTTTTTGCCGTTAAAAAAAAAAAGTAAACAGTAAAAAAGCTGTGTTACGTCAACTGCGTCTTTTTTAATCTTTAATCAAATGAAAGCAAAAGTTTCCATTAATTTAATGCATATTTTCCATGGAGCGCTCATTTTGCAGTAGCCTGCTATTTTTCTTTGATGAAAGTAAAAAAAAAACATGATTGGACAAACGGCTTATACCGGTTCTTAAAAAGGATTCAATCAGTGTTTTTGATTTGTAATTTCAACTTGTCATTTAAGTAAAAAATATCTAGGGCAGTACTATTTATTTTATTTTTTTATTTAGTTTATTCTGTTTTCTATGCTATTGAAAATGCTGCAGGTGCTTAAATATGTGCTGATGTTAATACGTTCTGTATGCTGTTGTTCACGTTAAATTAAATCAGTATTTTAAAATGCAATACGTTATTTGTCAGACACAAAATAGACACGTCAATTTTTTAAATCAAATAATAATTTAATATTAATTTGCCCATTTAACCGTTAATATTTACTTAACGAGCACTGGTTGTCGGTTAGCAAAATTAACCGAAAGAGCATCTCTAACTTCCATAGTAGGAAAAAACAAACAAATAGTATGTAAGTCAATGGTTGCAGGTTTTCAGCCTACTTAAAAATGTCTTCTTTTGTTTTCAACATATAACTAAAGAAACTTTTGGGTGAACTAACCATTTAAGGAAACAAAACAAACATTATTTTAAATTCCAAAGCCGTCTTTGTAATGTTTGTTTAAAGTTGTATTAGTCTTGTCAGTAAAATAATGACTTTGAGTTTACTTTTTGCCCAACAATATTGGTGGTAGTTAATAAACATCATTTTGAGTAAATCTTAACACAAAGTTTGGTTTCAATATGATTATGAGACAGTTTTGTACATTCTATTTAAAGCAGTATGCGCTTGTCTTTTTGAAATGATTTCTTTTTTCTGCAATATTGATTCTATTTATTGGTCTTCAATTATTTTTATAAATATAGCTACATTTAATTTAATAATAAGCCAACAATTTACCACTTTAAAGTTTAATAAATTTAAAAAAGTTATTTATGCTTTATAATGAATTCAAAAATCTGTTTTTGATTAAATGTTTTGAATAAGCTGTTTGTAAAATATTATGTATGAAATGCGAATATGGTGTTAAAACATCAAGAACATCAATGATAATAATAGTTGATATTTATTACTATGTATAAAATATATTAGGCATTACAATGGCACAGCGGGTAGCACGATGGCCACAGAGCAAGAAGGTCGCTGGTTTGAGCCTCGGCTGGGTCAGTTAGCATTTCTGTGTGGAGTTTGCATGTTCTCTCCGTGTTCTCACCCGGTTTCCTCTGGGTTATCCATGAATAGGTGAATTGGATAAGCTAAATTGTCTGTAGTGTACGTGTGTGAATGAGAGTGTATGGATATTTCCCAGTGATGGGTTGCATTGTGGTGACTCCAGATTAAAAAAGGGACTAAGCCAAAAAAAATGAATGACTGAATGAATGATAATATATTAATAGGAATGTAATTTGCACAAAGCTTTTTTTAGCTTTGCTTTTTATTTATTGTAACATTTAAAATTACAGTAGCATTGAACATGAACTCTTCCAAAGTTAAAAACTTACAATTGTCCATGCAGTTGAATATTTACAAATATAACAATGTACACATGACTCTATAAAGGAAATGAATAGAGCTTTTTTGTTACAGAACATAAACTGCAGTTTTTGCATGTCTCAATTTAATTAAACATTACAAATTCAACATTACATCATCATGACTATAAGTTGCCATTGAAAAAAAAAGCAAAAGGAAACTGTCATTAACTTTAAAAAAGCCTGCAAAATCATAACACAATGCAGTCGAAGATCTTCTTAATCTTAAGCTTTTTCTTAAAGTGTCTCTTTGTTTCTTTTTCTACGCTCAATCCACTCGCAGCCGATGCTGTTTCTTTATGAGGATCAGTGTAATGCACTTTCACATCGCCTACTAAAAGAGCAGCATCCAATGCAATGGCTTCCTCACAACTATCGAGAAAGAAAGCTGTGCCCTTATGCTCTACAGGCATGTTAAATGTGTCCTCCACACACTGTATCTGTGGCTCAGTCTCTTGCTGGTCCCTGGGCTGTTGTTTGCAATTGTCTCCTGTGGTATTAAAGATATCCATTTTGTTAGAGTCTGTCAGTTCCAACATGAGGCTTTAAGAGGTTTACACGGTATCATTGATTTTTGAGCAATGAATGTCCTCTGCTTGATTGTATACTGTAATTTCAGGTCTCAGTATTAGATGTAAGTGGTTATAATGCCACATTTTTCTGTAGCTTTTGAACTTAAATCAATTGGCATCAACCTCGGGAATGTTCTATTCTTAAGTTCTTCAACTTAACTTTAACATCAGCTTGAAGCATTTCAAGCAGTTAAATTGGCGCCCAGTAAAATTAAGAGTTCTAGAATACTTGCATATATAGAATATTAACCTGTTTTGCGGGGACATTTTTTGTGGCCTATAGGCTTTATTGCTTCTTGTGTTTTAGTGTGAAAATACACAAAAAAGTGTAAAATTGTTATCATTAACAATCACATTATCACGGGTATCATTATCCACTGCACTTGCAAAATCCTGGAGGGACTGCTTGATTATTTACTGTAGACTACCATGCTGATTCATCAGTACCGTTGTATTAAGCTTTTGTAGTCTAAAAATTATTATGTTAAATTAACTTGTAGATTACTCTCTTCTCTGTTTTTTTTTTTTAAACACAGTTACTCTGCTAACTGAAGTCACACACACACTGGAACGACACTATGGGCCCTATCATATACCCGGCCCTATTAGACCATGCGTCGCAATGCATAAGGTGTATTTTTTCGTCCTTAAAATAGCAAAAGTGGATTCGGAAAACCCTTAATGCTTTTGCACCATGCGCTTTAGACTTTGCGCCTAGATCGTTAAAATAGAGCCTTAAAACAGCATGCTCCCACCTGGATCCACCAATATTCTCTAATCTCGGACTGAGATTACAGTATGTGCAGTTAGAGAGCTCTGCCTGAAACATATTGTGATTGAGATGAGACGAGTGGAAACACCTCTTGATTAGATAAAAAAAAGATCCCAATTATTGTTCCATTAAAGCAGTAGGAATAATTGGATTGCTTTTGTTTAGGGAAATAACGGAGATGATCTTGATTAAATTAACTGCTTATTAGTGGAAAAAGAAGCCAACAGAGACAACAAAGACTGATGTTATTTTTTTCTGACAACTGTGCTGGTTTTAATTGTGAAATATAAATGGTTTTAATGGTATTTGTGGATGAAACTGTTTGAATCTTCTGTGATTAGTTTTTTTTCAGCAGGCAAGGAACCGAATACATCAAGCAGCAGAACAAAAATACACCACAAATGTCAAATGTCTTGTCTATCTGATTATAAATAGCTATTTTTTTAATAGGTGTTTTTTTATTGTTTTTGTTGTTTTATAATTTAGTGTAATAGTTAATAGTTAGTTAGAATTTAAGTTTAAATGTTAAATTCTCATATATTATTCAGCACAGTCTTGTGGTAAGGCCATTGGATTGGATTGTTCATGTTTAATGTACCTGAGCTGTGAACCTTGTATTTAAAAATATATATATGTGTCTATTTTTAGTTTAGTTTAGTTTTCAGAGATGTATTTTTGATTAGTTTAGTTTATTTTTTTAATTTTTACTTTTAATTTTGATTTTAATTTTCTCTAAACTATTGCAGCATACAGTGCATCCAGAAAGTATTCATAGTGCTTTAATTTAAAAAAAAAAAAAATTATGTTAAAGCCTTATTCTAAAATGGATTAAATTCATTTATTTCCTCAAAATTCTACACACAATGCCCCATAACGACAATTTAAAAAAAGATTTTTTGAAATTGCTGCAAATTTCTTAATAATAAAAACCTGAAAAATGACATGTACAGAAGTATTCACTGCCTTCGCTCAATACTTTATTGATGCACATTTGACAACAATTACAGCCTCAAGTCTTTTTGAACAAGATGCCAAAAGCTTGGCACACATCGTTTTTGGGGGAATTTTTGCCCATTCCTATTTGCAGTACCTCTCAAGCTCTATCAGGTTGGATGAGAAGCAACGGTGTACAGCCATTTTTAGGTATCTCCAGAGATGTTCAATAGGGTTTAGGTCTGGGGTCTAGCTGGGCCACTCAAGCACATTCACCAAGTTGTTGTGAAGCCACTCCATTGATATTTTGGAGGTGTGCTTTGGGTCATTGTCCTGCTGGAAGATGGACTGTCACCCCAGTCTGAGGTCATTCAGGATGTCTCTGTACATTGCTGCATTCATCTTTCCTTCTGTCCTGACTAGTCTTCCAGTTCCTGCTTCTGAAAAACATCCCCACCATGCTTCACTGTAGGGATGGCATTAGCCTGGTGATGAGCGGTGCCTGGTTTTCTCCAAATGTAACGCCTGGGACTCACTCCAAAGAGTTCAATTTTAGTCTCATCAGACCAGAGAATTTTCTTACTTATGGTCTGAGAGTCCTTCAGATGCATTTTGGCAAATTTCAGGCAGGGAGTGACTTCTGTCTGGCCACTCTACCATACAGGTCTAATTGGTGGATTACTGCACAGATGGTTGTCCTTCTGTAAGGTTCTCCTCTTTCTACAGAAGAACGCTGGAGCTAAGACAGAGTGACCATCGGGTTATTGATCACCTCCCTGACTAAAGCCCTTCTCCCCCGATCACTTAGCTTAGATGGCCGGCCAGCTCTAGGAAGAGTGCTGGTGGTTTCAAACTACTTCCACTAATGGATGATGGAGGCCACTGTGCTCATTGGAACTTTCAGAGCAGCAGAAATTTTTCAGTAACCTTCCTCAGCCTTGTGCCTCAAGACAATCCTATCTCGGAGGTTTACAGACAATTCCTTTGTGTTTATGCTTGGTTTGTGCTTTGACATGCACTGTCAACTCTGTGACCTCATATATATACAGGTGTTTGCCTTTTCAAATCATGTCCAATCAACTGAATTTACCACAGGTAAACTCCAATTAAGCTGCTGAAACATCTCAAGAATGATCAGTGGAAACAGAATGTACCCAAGCTCAATTTAGAGCTTCACAGCAAAGGCTGTAAATACATGTACATGTGATTGTTTCGTTTGTTTCTTTTTAATAAATTTGCAACAATTTCAAAAAATATTTTTCACATTGTCATTATGGGTTATTGTGTGTAGAATTATGAGGAAATAAATGAATTTAATCCATTTTGGAATAGGGCTGTAACATTAAATAATACACCAAAAATATACACCAAATATACACCAAAAAAATCTAATCAAATCGCACAATAACACTACATTTCAGTAAATAAATCAGGTACAGCAGCAGGTTTGTTTATATACTGAAATAAAACCATGTCTTACCTAACATGCTGTCTCCACTTGACAAGTCCTGATTCAATCGAGAGGCTGTTTCAGCATTAACATGTCTATCAATAGCCCCATCTTCAACTTTCCCATTGGCTGTCACCTCAGATCCCATCACGATGCCATTTTTCTGTGCAAGAATATTATCTTATGTCAGAATGAAAACTGATTCCTTTACATTATGAAAATTTTGAAGTCAAAATAATGATGCTAAACATAATGACTTCTATATCCTGCTAGTGATTGCCAGTGTATCCTCTATTTCTCTACCTTGAGAGCATCCCTAAGCCGGCAAACCTCGTCTCTGAGTGTCTCCCGTTCATCATGGATAATGTCTGAATATTCCTTCTGCCTCTCTAAAGCCTTAATGCAGCGATGCACAAAAGTGAACAATCAAGGAAAGAAGAACAGAAAAGAAGTAAAGGAAAGACATAATGTTAGGAAAAACTAACTCTAACAGGTTAATAGGTTAATATTGGACGTGGATTTATGGTATTAAAGTCCGCATGAACCACAAGTTGCTGAAACTTTTGTTTCCCTATGTTAATGTATTGAAATTGAATATTGAGTGGGGGTGGAGCTTTCTTTTTGCACGTCATTCCCTCATAGCAAACAGTAAAGAAAAGTAAAGCTCGTAGACAAACTTTATGGTGGCTTGAGAAAGCAGAGTCTGAACGTTTGAAGTAGTTTTAAAGTTTAAATAACTGAAGTAGTTTTAAAGGCGACGCAGTGGCACAGTGGGTAGTGCTGTCACCTCACAGCAAGGAGGTCGCTGGTGGAGCCTCAGCTGGGTCAGTTGGTGTTTCTGTGTGAAGTTTGCTTGTTCTCCTCACGTTCGTGTGGGTTTTCTCTGGGTGCTTTGGTTTTCCCCGCAGCCAAAAGACATTTGCTATAGGTGATATGGGTAGGCAAAATTGTCCGTAGTGTATGTGTGTGAATGAGTGTGTATGGGTGTTTGCCAGAGATGGGTTGCAGCTGGAAGGGCATCTGCTGCATAAAACATGTGCTGGATAAGTTGGCTGTTTATTCCACTGTGGCGAACCCGGATTAATAAAGGAACTAAACCAAAAAATAAATAAAATAAAAATGAATGAATGAATGAGTAGTTTTTAAGAAGTTTGAAATAGTTGGCAGAGATAGATAAGTACAGATTTGTTTCTAGTATGGATTGGCATGTTTCTTGCTAGGCAGTTGGGGTTTCTCGGTGGTTACTAAGGTGTTGCTAAGTGGTTACTATGGTGTTCTGAATGGTTGCTAAGGCTTGCTAGGGTGTTTTGAGTGGTTACTAAGGCATTACTAGGTGGTTGCTAGGGTGTCCTAGGTGGTTGCTAAGGCATTGTAAGGTGGTTGCTAACGTGTTCTGAGTGGTTGTTAAGCGGTTGCTAGGGTGTTTTATGTGGTTGCTAAGGCATTGCTAGGGTGTTCTAGGTGATTGCTAAGGTCCTGCTAGGTGGTTGCTAAGGTGATTGCTAGGTGATTGCTAAGGTGGTTGCTAGGTGATTGCTAAGGTGTTCTAGGTTATTGCCAAGGTGTTGCTAGGTGGTTACTAGGGTGTTCTGAGTGGTTGCTAGGCGGTTGCTAAGGCACTGCTAGGTGGTTTCTAAGGCGTTGCTGGGTGGTTGCTTAGGTGTTGCTTAGCAGTGGCTAAGGTGTTGCTAGGTGGTTGTTATGGTGTTACTAAGTGGTTGTTAAGGTGTTCTAGGTCGTTGCTAAGGTGTTCTGAATGGTTGCTAAGGTGTTGTTAGGCGGTTGCTAAAGTGTTGCTAGGCGGTTGCTATGGTGTTCTAAGTTGTTGCTAGGCGGTTGCTAAGGCGTTGCTAAGTGGTTGCTAAGGTGTTAGGCAGTTGCTAGGGTGTTCTGAGTGGTTGCTGAGGTGTTGCTAGGAGGTTGCTAAGGTGTTTTAGGTGGTTGCTAAGGTGTTGCTAGATGCTTCCTAGGGTGTTCTGAGTCGGTGCTAGGTAGTTGCTAGGCCATTGTAATGTGGTTGCTAGGGTATTGCTAGATGGTTGCTAAGGTGTTGTTAGGCAGTTGATAGGGTGTTCTGAGTGGATAGTGGTTGCTAAGGTGTTTTAGGTGGTTGCTAAGGTGTTGCTAGCTGGTTCCTAGGGTGTTCTGAGTAGTTGCTAGGCAGTTGCTATGATAAATGAGCGTGTTGTTAGAATGAATCTAGTATGAATTAACATGTTTCTAGTATGTTAGTATGTTTCTAGTATGGATTAGAATACTTAGCTAGTATGGATTAGGGTGTTGTTTATTATGTCCAATGTAAAATCAATGGCAGTTTTTTACAATGAAAAACTATGGGACAGTTGCTAGGGTGCCGTAAGTGGTTGCTAAGGTTGCAAGTTGAAAGGTCATCAGTGATTGGCAAATTGGTAGTCTAACTTAAATGAGCCCAACTTTATGTCCGCATGACAGTCTAGCGGAAAGTCATGGGGTCACAAAGTTTGGTCCAATGTTAAGTCAATGGGACTTTTCAGAATTTTCCGGGACAGTTTTCAGAAAACTGTACGTCAGATCAGTCAGAAAAGATATAGCAACTTAAGTCAGTACAGGTCTAGGAGGAAATGCGCTCTTAAAATAGTCTAAGAAGAAGACAGAGTTCATGTAGTATAACAGTATGTTGGCTTTCTCGAGGTCCCATAATAAGAATATTGTGGCTGAAGCTGGCAAACTTACATTGACACCAAAGCAAATGATCAGACTTTGAATCAAAACGTAATTATTAATGAATTAATTAATAGTACACCTAAATAATAACAATGTGCGTTAGCAAAATAAAGATTGTAAAAGATTGTAGATTTCACATGGACTTTAAGTGTTTAAATCTAAAAGAGAGTGTCGTTGTCGTGTGGTATGATTGATGAACAAAATGACCATGGAAAGAAATTGTACCAGGATCTTTTTATCTTTCCATTCCAATGTTTCTTGGAGGTCAGAGATCTCTCTAATATAGTCTGCATGCTTCCCACGAGACTGTTGGGCTTCCTGAACCCATGAGGCCAAGAGGACAAGCGGAGGAAAACAGACAGACAGGTAGAAGAATATTAAAAGGAAAATGTGATAGAAGACAACAGAATAAAAGAATCTATTTATATCAACAAGACAAAGAGACAGGAGATCTTTCATCATTTACTGATGCTGCTCACCGTCAGCAATTCCTCACTCTGCTTCAGCGTTTCCTTCATCTCCTCAAACTGGAACTTCAAGACATTGTGCGCGTGACGTTCTCGCTCACATTCCTAATAAACATTACAGTGAAAAAAGCACATATTAATGATATACGTATTGAAACATGTTGATTGTAGTTTTGCAGTATATTTTCGGCTATAAATAGTTGTATTGTCCAATATAGGCTCCTAAAAAATAATAATCCGCAAGGGTCTTTCTGCAAAAAATCATTTTACATCACTTCTTGTATATTTAAGGGAAATTTTTAAAGCAAAAGTGTGCGAGTGGTGCTAAAACGCATGCTTAACAATATGATATTGAAGTTAAATTACAAATACTGAGAGAAATTTTCACTCAAGTAAACACTTTTTGTACATTTGTAGAATTTAATAAAAACAAAAAGCAACAATGGCTATTAAAATATTAGCTGTATTTAAATTTTCAACACTGAAAAGCACTTTTACTCAGGGGCGGACTTGGTGGATTTAGAGGCAGACAATTTCAGACATGGAGCCCTATTGAAACTCAAATACTCTCCTTCTCTATAGATATTTTCTTCTGTAGATGTAGAAATTGTTATTTTATTGTTTTTGTTTGGTTTTTTTGTAGATAAACTGCATGTTAAATTATATATTTCAAGTGGAACCTTTATCTTCTTAATTTAAAATTAAATTAAAATTAAGTAAATTCCACTATTCATGGGGAAGTGGTTTTGATAAGAAGTGATAACATTAAAATCCTAATGGTTATAGACATATTTACAACGTACGCTCTCAGAAATAAAGGTACAGGAGCTGTCTCTGGGGCAGTACCTTTTCAAAAGATACATATTTATACCCAAAGAGTCCACAGTGGTACCTCAAACGTCCATATTAGTGTCCAAATGTACCTAAAAAGTACCTTTGAGGTACTATTATGGACCCTTCAGGTAAAAATATGTACCTTTTGAAAAGGTATCGCCCCAGAGACAGCTCATGTACCTCTATTTCTGAGAGTGTATGATGGTAAATAAAAAAAAATAAAAAAAGCTATATGACTAATTTTGGTTTCTTGGCATTGGTCGGGGACCCCAATTTTCCCGGGGCCCTAAGCAGCTGCTTACCTCGCTTATTGGTTAAGTCCAGCCCAACTTTTACAACATAGATAGCTAGTGACAATATCAAAAACGATATAAACAATAACTAGACATTTTGGTGAGCAAGCAAAAACTTTCAAATTTTATGTCAGAAGCCATACATTTCCATGATTTAAGTTATAACTAAGGATGAAATGTGCATGTTTGATTCATAAAAAAATGCACTTTCTTTTGCAATATGCAAAAATGCAACAACATTTTTTTTTAACTGCAAGGGGGGAAACTGTATTGTTGTAATTATTCAACGCTACAAGAATTCTGTTTAAATTGCACATGGGTAAAGTACAATTCCAAAATAATAAAAATAATTATAACAAACAGCAAATAAGTAAAACTGCTCAGTGATATTAAAAGGTACAATCTTAATTACATTGAAAAAAAATTATTCTGTACATCATCTATCCTAAAAATGGCTATTCTAAAGCATTTACTAAAGCATCATGTAATCCTACCAGGATACACAAGTGATACATTGCTGCAAAGGTATTTTAAAATAATATCTTCAAAATAAAAGAATAAAAAAGGACTCTGGACTTTTGTACTTGTGTATATGATAACAAGCTGAGGGCTGCAACTCAGTTAATAACCACCGGTGTTACTAATAATGATTTAAAAACACACACACAGAAATGATTCTACTTTTTTATAGGAAATTTTAAAAAATCTTGTTATTTCTCTTTTGTCTATTTCTCTTTTTCTCTATTTCTATTTTGTTTTCTAATTTAAGTGAATTTATTTATAAACTAATTTCAAGAGGATCGTGTGCTTATGATTGCTTGCGGCTGGTCGTGCATTACTCAATTTATTGTCACCAATAAGACGATTCTTAAGCCCAACGTCCTAAAACATGCAACTTAAGTGAATTGACTAATCTAAATTGGCACCATAGACATGCTCCTAGTAAGTAGTTGTCTTTTAAAGCAATCACTATCTGTTCATTAGCAACTACAGCAGGGGAGTTTTTGAGATCTACCTGAGCTTAAACTCCCCTCTCACCTTGCAAACGAGAGGGAGCCCCAGGCTCAAGGATCTTATGAGCTCAGGGCTCTCTCCTGAGACAGCATGCCAATGAAGCTTTATAATCAGTCATCAGCTAAGTGTGAACTCTTGAATTCTTTATAAAGTTTGTACTTTCTGGAATTTACTTTGAAGTTTTGTCAAAAAAGTTGCTAGCAACACTATTTACTTCTTGATACTGTACATTTTGGTTTATGACAATGTCAGTTTCATATTTTGTACTGAAGAAAAGAAATTACCCTGGTTTTCTCCTCACGCTCTCTCTGTGTCTCACAAAGAAGTTCCTCCAGCTCCATTAGCGTGTCTCTCAATGTGTCCACCTGATACATCATGTTTGTCTTCTCATTGTCCAGCTGAGCGATGGACACCATGGCTTTACGGTACTTCTCCTCCACCTCTACCAATGAGTCCTGAGAGTAGACAAACAATCAACCAAACAAAGACATCATGGACATTATAATTTATTACCTATTTATGCTATAATGCTGTTGCTTGATTATGATTGGCTGAAAAACAATCAAGGTAGAAAGTAATTTTCAGATAAATACAGCTGAATTAGTATCAGGTTGCTCTTGACCGGTTTACAGCTGCATATCACTACACCAAATGTTTTCAGTTAGTACAACTTACTTCACAGCCTACAACAGACAAAAATCAAATCAAAACAAAACAAAACAAAAAGGCTTTGGATGAGATGTGTAAGAATGTAGGGGTTCAAAACTTTGAGATGTGTATGAGATGTGTAAGAATGTAGGGGTGTAGGGGTTCAAAACTTTTTAACTTGCAATGTGCAATAAAGGACAACAGAACAGAGAACAAAATGAATGAGTGTGCAATGACAATTGTGGTAATTACATAGTTTTTTTTTTTTTTTTTTTTTGCATTGCAAGGCATTTTATTAGCCACAGCCAACTGTGCAGCCCAAGACCGGTTAACTGAAGCTAAGCAGGGCTGAGCCTGGTCAGTACCTGGATGGGAGACAGCTAGGGAAAACTAGGTTGCTGTTGGAAATGTTGTTAGTGAGGCCAGCAGGGGGCTCTCAACCTGTGGTCCTAACGAGTCCTAACGACCCAGTAAAAGTGAAGTGGACACTATACTGTCAGTGGGCGGCGTCTTTCAGATGAGATGTTAAACCGAGGTCCTGACTCTCTGTGGTCATTAAAAATCACATGGCACTTTCTTGTAAAGAGCAGGGGTGTAACAACTGTGTCCTGGCCAAAGTCCCTCTATCGGCCCTTACGATCATGGCCTCCCAATCATCCCAATACACCAAATTGACTGCTATCACTGTCTCTCCACTCCACCAATAGCTGGTGGTTAGTAAGCGCACTGGCACCGTAGTCCTATGGCAGACGTCGCATCATCCAAGTGGATGCTGCACACTGGTGGTGTTGTGGAGAACCCCCCCCCCATGATGATAAAGCGCTTTAGGTGTATGGCCATACACTATAAATGCGATATATAAATACACATTACATAACATTACATTTTTATCATTGACATTATTATTTTAATCAATGTTTTTTTTTTTTTTTTTTTTGTAATGTTTTATTTTTTAAGTACTATGTACTTATTTTTTTCCTAAAAGTAAGTATTTTTGATTGAATAATAAAGAAACTAAACTAACTCCATAGTCCCAAACAAAGATTGGGTTTGAAAACAAAAACCTACTGCTTTAATAAAATAAGTGCATTACCAATGTTTTGAAATAATTCATCAAAACAATTCCTTTAGCTATGATAACCATGTATAGAGTGTACGATAGATAAGTGGCTCTTATTATTAGAAAACAATGCACAGCCTTGGTGTAAGGGTCATCAACTAGGCAGTGCATTATACTGTAACTGCTAATCAATAATACATTTTTTGCTTATACTACAGGGCTCTTAAATGCTTGATTGTATTTTCTAAGGTGTGCTATTTTTTTCAGATAATCCCACAGCTAAAGTAGTTCCAGGCAAGTCTGGACCACATTAGTTTCACCTCGTTACGCTGTATTTAGTTATTTCACAGGCTATAACAGTCAACAAATCTAAACAAAACAAAACAAAATGTTTTGTGTGAGATGTTTAAAGTTCCTGTGAAGAGCTTTGAAACATGCAGTTTTATTTGATGTTTGGTGTAATCTCAACCGAAACACGAAGAGAGGGTGGGACAGCCTATAGCATTTTGTTTTATCACTGCTCTGCCAGTTAGAGTAGTTGAGCTCAAGTGCATCAAATGAAGAGCAAATGGGAAGCGCATTAAAAACGGCAGGCCTGTCAGATAGTAGAGAGCATTTGATTGTTTATGATTTGATGGAAGACTAAAGTATAATGGGACGTATATAAAACCATTGATTCATTTAGGTGGAAGTGACAAACTACCAGCTTTACATGTTTATATCAGTTTTATATCTTCTAAACGCAAATGTTGTCACTGTTTTGGAGCACACTAGATTTTAGGTATCTTAAAAACGAACAATACTGATACTAACATCTAAAAAAACTTTATTTTAATTTCACGAGACCTGTAAGCGGCTAGACCTACCAAAGATTACTAACCTCATTCTTAACATGTAAGAGAGGGCATAGCCATTAGAACCTTATTGGCTTGAGACTAACTGCAAAACTGGTATTTTGTAAGTATCGTATTTTTATATATATAGTCAAACACACTTGTTTGTAGAGCAAGTAATTTGGCCATTATCTGCAGTTTGATATTCATAGTCTTTTCTCCCATAAAGTGAATAGAATATAAAAAGAATGTCACTCAAATAGATTTAAATGGGGACAAATACAGCAATTGATATTGCCACTCGGGCAAAGCAGTGGTGCAGTAGGTAGTGCTGTCGCCTCACTGCAAGAGGGTCACTGGTTCGAACCTCGGCTCAGTTGGTGTTTCTGTGTGGAGTTTGCATGTTCTCCCTGCCTTCGCGTGGGTTTCCTCCGGGTGCTCCGGTTTCCCCCACAGTCCAAAGACATGCGGTACAGGTGAATTGGGTAGGCTAAACTGTCCGTAGTGTATGAGTGTGTGTGTGTGTGTGAATGTGTGTGTGGATGTTTCCCAGAGATGGGTTGCGGCTGGAAGAGCATCCGCTGCGTAAAAACTTGCTGGATAAGTTGGCGGTTCATTCTGCCGTGGCGACCCCAGATTAATAAAGGGACTAAGCCGACAAGAAAATAAATGAATGAATATTGCCACTCTAGGGAGACAAGCCCCACCTATTAGTTAAGGAGCCAATCATCACTTGCTGGAATAGACTAATAATTGTATGGAAGTGTGTTTTTTGTTGTGATCCCTCTTGGGTCTGCAATCGTGCTGGAATCTCAGTGACTACTTGCTTTATAGACATGAGAAACATATCTACATAAACATGAAACGTTTACTTTTAAACAAAACAAAAACACTTGTTCAACACATGTTTTCTGACTTTGTATTCAGTATGAAATGAACATAAAATGCAGTCATCCTGTCTGACCTCATTCTTTTAAATGAATTCCCACCTCTGCCATTCAAATGAAATGACGCAACTTTGAACGCCTACAAACTTGTAAACAAAGAGGTTGTTGTCATTTTAGGAGGAGATTTGCTATAAGGAATTGCCACTGGAAATGACCTCAGAAGGCCAGTGCGGACAGATGCAGCGTTATTCAAAGAAATATCTTTTGTAACATGTAAGTTATTGATTCTTATAGTGTTTACATAGTTTGATTGGCAGGACGACGTTTAATCCTCCAGAAACATCCTTAAATGAGGTTGATCTTTTTTTCATCTTGGTGTGCATTAGCTTGGGCCACCTGAATTTCTGTCATGAGATTGTTGTTGTTAAATTTTATTGGTAAATCATACATTCATTCATTTTCCTTCGGCTTAGTCCCTTTATTCACCAGTGGTCGCCACAGCGGAATGCACCGCCAACTTATCCAGCATTTGTTTGACACAGAGGATGACCTTCCAGCTGCAACCCAGTACTGGGAAATCATTGGTAATTCCTAATATGAAAATTTATTATAAGCTTGGTAAACAGTTTTGGAAAGATTGTTTTTTTTCTTCATTCAAAGAGACAGAATCTGCACCTGCATATCTGAAAGAAATTTCAATAACGCACAGGAGTGCTTTGTGAAAAAATGTTGACAAATATCTTGAAATATAACATCAGTGTCTTCAGGTGTGGTGTACAACAATTTTGCATCATGGCTGCATTACCATCATCTTTATCATTGTAAAGAGAGTTAGTTTTGAGCAGTAGAGGAAAAATATTGGAATATAGGAATGTTTTAGAAATATACACCACCGTTCAAAAGTTTGGGCTTAGTAAGATGCTTTTGAAAGAAGTCTGTATGCTCTTCAAGACTGTGTTTATTTGATTAATACAGTAAAAACTGTAATATTTTAAAATAATAAAAATGTACATTTATTTTGTAACTTTTGTAACTTTGTACCTTTGTAACTAATGTAACTTTTAAGTTTAATGAATGTATTGTTGACTTTAACATAGATTACAAGTAGGTCATAATTTCTGGGTGATTTGTCTATTTATTCATGGCTTCAGATTGCAGGACCTTAAACTCTGCTCTGAAATATAACATCTGAGCAGTGTCTTCAGGTGGGGTGTAGAACAATGTTGCATCATGGCTGCATCACCATCCTCTTTATCGTCGTCTTCATTTTATAATAGCACTTGATAAAGTTGGAATGAAATCAAAATTTGTTCTTCCTTCTTCTATGTGTATAATAGTACTTGTTATAAATGATGTATCTATGCACTTCATTGTTTTGTCAATTTATTGCCCTTACAATCTTTAAGCAAAATAACATCATTACGTTCCCTCTCCCCTCAAAACTACTTTTCTTCTCTTCATTCAGTCTTCTTTCATTTTGTAAACATCACCCATCTTCTGAAAATCTTGTTAAAATTGTTTTCCAAAGGATAAAAACATGCATGCACTGCCCTACATTTTTTCTCATTTCAAGACAGTTTCAAGTCAATGTACATGACTGAGGAAAAAAGCACAATCTTGTCATCTGTTTCATGTCTACTTTAAGTTGTGTGGTGTATACTGTAAAAGACATGGGTATTTATTGCTGAGAATCTCTTTATGTATCTTGCTGTCCTGATGAAGATCTGGGAATTCTGTGCACGTTTCTGCGCAGCCGCTGCTAATGAACCATGCTGGTGTTATTGCTATTTCTTTCTTTGTTATTGTATATGATCTATGTTTTATGTTTATTTCGTTGTTTAATTAATAATTTAGATTGAGTGAATATTATTAAATTAATTATTTTTATTTTTGTTGGCACTTTATTTTGGTAAAAGACACATTTTTGTCTCTCTATAAATAGTGAGTTGTATGATGTGAATAAAGGTTTTTTGTTGCTGACCCCTCCCTAGAAAAGCATTATAAATTGGGGTTTGTAACACTTATTTGAAATGAGAAATAGTTATTTTTTTACCATATTTAGTCTTTCAAAACAAGGCATACAATATGCAGTCTTTGGACAAACTGCATCCCAGAAACCAATATGTCGTCACTGTATAATCATCTGACATTAGACATTGATACAAACATTACAATCATGACTTTCAACATTATTACAGTGCACTTTGAGCATTCATAAGCAATATTTGTTAAGCTAATAGTTTGCTAAGGCAACCTGTGAAATGTGACTTATCAAGCGGATAATTCAACAACAAACTCTTGTTCCATTCATATACACCAAAATTACCTTCATTTCCCTTATGGAGGCCTCAGTGTCAGCCGAAATAGAGGTATCACAGCTCCCTCTTCTGGATAAGCCTCCGCCCAGAGAGGCTAGAGTTGCAGCAGAGAGGGTGGAGGCTGTTCTGGACCCCTGTGAATGTAGTTTAAATATTTACTCTATCACATGCGTTGTAGTTTTACTTATTATGATGCTTGTCTTTGCATTCATTTAACATCTAAAAAAATGATTTAAAAAAATGCTAAAATCTAAAAAATGCACTACATAAATACACATTACATTGCATTACATGAAAAAAAGATCCCACTTACCTTTTCCAAAAAGTCTGACCTTTCTTCCACCTGTGTAAAAATAAAAATAAAATGTGTTTAAGCAGGGCTACACTTTAAAAAAACAATGCAAATGTACATAAAATTTGCTCAGAATTTATTTAACAATATTAGATAACAGCAATGACTAGAGATCTGTTCCATGCTTTATCCAGCAGAGGGAGCAAGACACAAATAGGATTAATAGTGATAGAGAATGTTTGAGAAACAGGATATGGAGAAGGAAAGACAAAGGGTCATTTTTTTTTTATCATTATTATTTTTTGTTATGGATGTTGTAGAGAAGGCAGACTTGACCTTGAAACGGCAGAATTAAAGCCTTGGCAGTGATAGAAAATGGAAGCTCACCACTGGGCTGGCACGGGCTGAACTTGCCCTAGATGAGGCCCTGGAACTGGAGCCCAGAAAGCCATTGTAGTCTGAAGGCTGACCAGAAAAGCAGGTAAAGAGAATGACAAAAGCACAAAAAGAAAGGCAGAAAGTGTTAGAAGTAAAGAGAGTTAGTTTTGAGCATTGGAGGAAAAATATAGGAATGTTTTAGAAATGAGAGCACCATATACACTACCGTTCAAAAGGTTGTGGTTAGTAAGATGCTTTTGAAAGAGTAATTTTATGCTCATCAAGGTTTATTTAATTAAAATCCAGAAAATGTTGTCATATTTTAAAATAATGAAAATGGTAATTGATTAAAAAATGTAACTTTAAAGCTATGAATGTTTACCTTAACAGAAACTATATGTAGGTCATAATAATTAATGGGTGATTTGTTTCTAATCATTCATGGTTTCTAATTGTATTGTAGGACATTGAACTCTCCTCTGTAAAACATAACTAAATCTGGGTGGGTCAGGTAAACTGCAGCAGAAAAAACAGCTAATGAAATGCCATTTCATGGCATCTGTTATTTTACAGACTTAATCAGTAGATGGTGTTCCTGTAATTTCAACAATATTTAATACTTAATTGTATTTCATGCAATTCAAAAGAAAAAAATGAACTAAAGTTAAACTTTAAAGATTTTTCGAAGATTTTTCAAGTGATGTTTAACAGAGGAAGGAGAATTTCACAGTATTTCCTGTATTCCTTTGTAAGATATATTTTTTTCTATTTTTCTTCTTGTTTCTTAACTTTGGCTGGAATACAGTTAAATAATATTAGCCTCATACATTTCTTTTTCTTCGATGGGCTGGAGAACAAACCAATGTTGTCCACATGACTTGCCCAATGACTGTAAATAACTTAAATAATCTAGTTAAGCCTTTGATTCGGACTATACGTTTAACTATAAATATCAAATAATTAGAAAAAATTTATATAATACAATAAATTATGCACTGTTTTAATATGTAAGATTATTAGATTATAATTTTTTTTATTAGAAATTAGTTATTAAAACTATTATGTTTAAAAATGTGTTGAAAAAGTAACAACTTCCCATAAGGGCTAATAATTTGTTGTTGTTGTTGTATTTTTCAGGTGAACTATTCCTTGAAAAGAACATACATAGTGTAACTTGAAATATTAATTAAATCAAATATAAATTAGATTTTCTCAAAAAAAAAAATACAAATCTTTTGTACAGTAGTGCAAAACCAAGTCTAAGTGATGGTAAAACAAACACTGACACACATCAGTTTCTGTGCAAAAGAGAGTCAGACATCTGACTAGTGAACAATCAAACTTCAACCAGACAAACACAGAAAGGAAATTCATCCAAGCTGATGAACCATCAAATGCATGCCTTACATACATAATCCCACTCTGATTACTGCCATGCAGGCACCGGAACGCAATACTGGGAAAAAACAGTAGATTAACCTCAGAGAAAACCTCAAGAAATAAACAAAGACACAAAGAACACCTAGTCAAGCCCGTGGTCTTTTAACAGACCCATGCAAGATGCTTAACAATCCCAGACTGGTATTGTGTATCAGGTCATGCCCCTGTCAGAGGAAGAGGTAAAGATCGGGCCTTACGCCTCTAGCGCTGGAGCCACTGAAACGCCTAGTGGCAGAGTATGAGCTCTCTTCATGCAGAGACCCCTGCAGACAGAACAAAACACCTCACCATACACCCTATATTCACCTTACACACTTCACATCTGGCAGACAAAACCAACTGTTTAAAAGAACACTACACTTTTTTTGGAAATATGTTCATTTTACAAGTCACATTTTTTAATTCATACATCCGATCTTGGGATCGCGGGAGCCCTTTTAGCTTAGCTTAGCATAAATCATTGAATCAGGTTTAACCATTAGCATGTTGCTCAATTTTTAAAAAAATATTTCCTGCTGCAACTCATCACTAATAAACATCCATACCCACTCATTCTCACACATACATTACGGACAATTTAGCTAACCCAATTCACCAGTACCACGTCTTTGGACTTGTGAGGGAAACCAGAGCACCCAAAGGAAACTCACGTGAGGACGAGAAGAGCATACAAACTCCAACCAGAAATGCCAACTGAACCAGCTCATAGACAGTTTAGCTGATCGACATGACTTTGAAACTCTCCATTGTCTGTGTATCTGTGTTTACACTTGGTGAACAAATTGGTGAGCCTTCACAGCCAATCACAGTCATTTCTGTTGAGCATATGAACACAATGGCCAATCTAGAAGTTGTTTAAGAACTCGTTCAACAGCATTCAAATGCAAGTGGGAAATGGCCATTTTTTAAAATTCTAGTACTGACTGGTCTTGAACTCGATGTACCTTAGACAAATAAAATTTTTAAAAAATGACTGAAATGCCGTTATTTCGAACAAAATCTTGTCAAAAGATTGGCAGTGCGAAACAGCTCAGCAAACGAGCTATTTGGGGGAACTAACTTCCTAAACACTACCATTGGTCTATGACAATTTTGCAATTGATGGATGTGTTCTGGAACTACACCTTTTCTTTGACGTTCATAGTATTCTAGCAGTTAGCAGCATAAATACACAGAATGGACGAGTGGTAGAGCTGGTACAGATGCATTAGCACCTGTACGATTGCTTGCAAAAAGTCTTGAATCGAAAATGCTGGGGTGTCCGAAGATTCGGAAAAAGTTTTTCACCATTCTGCCTTTTCAAACTTCTTCATTCATTTATTCCTTTTACTTTGGCTTAGTCTCTGATTTATCAGAGGTCGCCCCAGTGGAATGAACTGTCAACTATTCCAGCATATGTTTTACGCAGCGAATGCGCTTCCAGCGGCAACCCAGTACTGGGAAACACCCATACACTCTCACATTTACACACACTCATACACTACAGCTAATTTATTCAATCTAAATTCACCTATATCTCATGTCTTTGCATTGTGGGGGAAACCAGAGTATCCAGAGGAAATCCACAGGGAGAACATGCAAACTCCACACAGAAATGTCAACTGGCCCAGCCGGGACTCGAACCAGCGATCTTCTTGCTTTAAGGCAACACTGCTAACCACTGCTAGCCACCATGCAGCCTTCAAACTTCTTTTTCCCATCAAACAAATAAAGAAAAATACCTTTGTTTGAAATATACCAAGCATGCCCTAATAATCAATTAACTTTGCTTTTGTACCATGGCTGCAACAGGCACAATAATATTATTCAGCACCTAAAAACTGTCCCCAGCTAAGTAACAGCTGTAGGTTACATCGCTACGAAATAGCATTGCATGAGATGCTAATGGTCTAATTTGATTCAGGTATTTACAGTATGCTAAGCTAAGCTAAAAGTGCTCCTGTGAGATCTGGATATCAGCTGAATGGATTCCGAAACGATAAAACTAATTCTAGGGGAGTCGTAAAATGAGTCTATTTATGAAAAAGTGGAGCGTTTCTTTAAAGAGAAAATAAACAATCTGAAATGACTACTTTACGCATCCAAAATGGTTCGCCATCATGAAATGTGATCAACAGGGCTGCTAACAACCAGGGGAGATGTACTGTACTTATAAACACATCATGGGCAGGAAATGCTCATTACATACAGAGGAGATTTAAGGGAAACTTCCTTGCGTGTTAACACTGACCTTAATGCACTCTGATGTACTGTGAGCACTTATGGAATGACGGATTGAAATTAAGAATTGATTACTGAGTGGAGGCTATGGACGCCAAAGACTTGTCAACACATGTGTAGCCAAAGACATTCTGAGTATCGGGTTACTAAATTGCATGCAGGTTTCTGCTCACATAAACTATTGAACACACACAACACATGTCTGTAAATGAGACAGTTCACCCCACAATGAAAAATCTGTTATCATTTTAATGTCGTTAAATAATTGATTTACAATTCTGTGGCACGATAAACAGATGAACAGAGATATGTAGAAGAATGTCAAGGAAGCTATTCCCAAACATTGCTGTGAAGAAAAACTAATGTTAACGGCAATTATGTAAATGTTTTAAAATAAAAAAGTAAATAAAAAGTATTTTAGTGCATTAAGTTAATTTATGTAAATATAGCGTCAAATATAGTTGAAGTCAGAATTATTAGCCCACTTTGATTTTTTTTTTCTTTTTTAAATATTTCCCAAATGTTGTTTAACAGAGCAAGGAAATTTTCACAGTATGTTTGATAACATTTTTTCTTCAAGAGAAAGTCTTATTTGTTTTATTTCGGCTAGAATAAAAGCAGTTTTAAATTTTTTAAAAACCATTTTAAGGACAAAATTATTAGCCCCTTTAAGCTTTATTTTTTTTTTTTTTCGAGAGTCCACAGAACAAACCATCAGTATGCAATAACTTGCCTAATTAGTTAGCTTAATTAACCTAGTTAAGCCTTTAAATGTCACTTTAAGCTGTATAGAAGTGTCTTGAAAAATATCTAGTCAAATATTATTTACTGTTATCATGGCAAAGATAAAATAAATCAGTTAAATTAGTAAATTTATTAAGTTTAGAAATGTGTTGAAATAAATCTTCTGTCTGTTTAACAGAAATTGGGGGAAAAAATAAACAGGAGGGCTAATATTTCAGGGGGGCTAATAATTCTGACTTCAAGTGTGCATTAAAACTAGAGCTTATATTGGGCCCAAAAAATGAAACCCGGCCCTACCTGAGCCAGTGCACCTTGTGTCCGAGCCTGACCCGGTCCAACACATTAACTGTAATTACAGTATGAGCCTGATTTTAAACCCAACTATGTTTTTATACGTTTTTATTTCTTAACTACAATTCTGAGTTGTTTGAACTACAGAAATGAGTTCAGATTGATCTTAATGAAAAATGCAAAAAGTACGAAGCATGTAAACTGCAATGTTTGTTTCTTCAGAATGGATCATAACAAAAGGGGATATTGAAGGCTGACTATCATCCTTTCTGCCATGGCAAGCCTGCTTCATGTGTCTGTTCATCGAGGAAGTCCCCGCTTTTTTTGCTGTCACCTCTTTCAAACCGTACGTGCGAGCTGAGTGTGAGCAGTGCATGTATTTCGGCGTACATGTTTACATATAAGAACTGTCATATCGCATGCAGAAGCAGTGCATCAGTGCGGAGCATGAACAGACACAATATGTGACCCTGGATCATAACAAAATAGATATTAAATAAAATCTAAATAAATAATATAACTAACTAACTAAATTAATTAACTAAGATGTAAAAATCACCTGAACACTGTAAAAATATATAGTTTTTTTGGTTTTATTTATTTTTTTACAAAACTTACCCTTTTTAAAAGTGTACTTAAGTGTTGTATGGACAAGATGGCTTGAACATTCTACTACAGTTCCACTGTTTTTGTATCCCACACAAAACCCTTCAGTGACAGCAGAAATTTCATTTTAGGGTGAACTATATGTCAATTATACTGTATGCTATGAAATCACAACAACAAAACAGTGAACAAACAATCTGCACGTCAGGTAGCATGCAGATTACAGCTGGAAACAAACCCTGTGACTTCTTGAGCGAGGGGTTTCAATAAATAGTGCAGAAGGCTAAAAAGAGAGAGGAGGAAGAAATGTATATTCTCATAACATTGAATGTAAATACTACATGTTCTTCATGTTGAGTAAATCAGACCTTTAAAATATATATATAAAAATAATTACATTTCTATCTTTAATTTGCACCACCATAAAACAGCTCATTTAAAAAAGAAGTTTGCATCAACTCTGAATTTTCCATTCCTTTAAAAACCAAATAAGTAAGCTTCCAGACGAATCTCTGGGAATTTCATGTGTGCTAATTATAAATTGTCTCAAAATAATCCTTAAAACGCAAACAATGTTGTAATAAGGGCAGTGCAATCTGATGAAATAAATCAAATGGATAAAATAATAAGAAATCTATTGTTTATTATTCTCTATTGGTCATTATTTAGAGTATGGTAATGCTTTTTCAGTATTTGGATTACGTTCATTACTAGCCAGTCAGAAGTGTGAATTGTAGCATTGGGAAAAAATACATGATCGAAAGAACAATGTTTAGTTTTCTTTTTTGTTTAGCAATATTATATATATATATATATATATATATATATATATATATATATATTTAATATAAATATTTATACATTAATTACCAAACATTGGACCTTATATTTCTAAATAAAGTGTGAAAAATAATCACTTTTTTGAGTACATACTAGAGAAATATTCCTGTCCATTGTGGTTAGTATTTAAAAATGCTAATCCAAATGCTATGCTAATCAACTACTTTTCTAAATAAGGTACTATATTGTGAAATCTATGGTTGTCAGGAAATTAGACGACATGGACGTCAGGATTTTGCCAAGTACAATGCGATCTTGGGTTAACATCTACAGTATATTGATCCTGGAACATCATTTTTGTTCGAAAATGTAAAAGTACATAAACCAAACCGTAAGCCTAAACTTAATATCAACTAAATGTATCCCTTAATTCTGATTGGCTGATTAGAATGTTGTTCAAGAACCAACATGGCTCATCCAGGAACATGTCCTACTTGGTAAAATCAGATTGGCGCATCATGATTGGATATTTTCGTCATATCGCCCAGCCCTAGTTGTAATCAAATCAGTCTACATCATTGTTTTTTTTAGTAATTTTTTAGTTAGTAATGTTAATTTCAACTTAAAGAATGCGACTTCTACCGATTCTTCTGGAACCCAGTGGTGGTGGTCTATTGACAGTTCACTGTTACAAAATGCTGGGACCCACACAATTCATTCCTGTAGTCCCAAAACAAATCGATTTAGCTAACTTAAGGAATTTAAGCGGATTGAACATTAAACAATTAAGTTGCCCCCAAAAAATCTCAAGAATTATGTTGTTTCAGCTCAAGCAGCTTGAATAAGCAGCAAAAATAACTCTTTGAGTGTTGTTTGAAAATAAGTGTGCCTATGAGATGACTGAGGGAAAGAGAAAAGCTAGAAAAGCAAAATGAAGAAAAGCTATAAGCTAAAACAATGAAGGGGAGAAGAAACTCTAATGGGAGAAAAAAAGAAGCATTGTTAAGGATTGTAAGAGGGACAGACCCGTCCATTTTGTAGTCTGGCTGAAGTCAGACTGCTGGTGCTGCTGCAGAGATCTGCGTGGTTGCCCTACGGTAAGCAGAAGAGGACAAAAGACAATGTGAAAATAAGGGGTGGGAGGCTGAGGTGACATGTTGTAGGAAAAGTATGATTCAGCAAGAGTTTGAATGAATGAAAGAGGGAGCTAGCAGTGACAGGACTCTGTGCAATTGATAGCCACACCGTCATTTTCCTTGATCAGTAGTAAGGGACATTACTGGAACCTAATATAATAAATGTTCATCAAATTGAAATTATTATGTTGAGCTTCAGTGTTTAGAGCAAAAACACACTTTGATTATGCCTGGCAAGTCAAATACTATATAATAATAAAAGGTAACCTCTTTTTTAAAAAGGTTACTAATCTAAATAAATAAAGATCACAGTCCAAACATTAGTACAACCAAATTAATATGTTGAGAGAAAATATTAAATAGATTTTTAATAAACAGGACAAATCATAAAAATGTATTACATTTTGTTGAAATATTGTGATTTTATTATTGCAAACTCATTTGAATTTAAAGGTATTATATTTCTATGTAAGGTGACCAAACATTCTTTTTATAATCATGACTGTTTAATAAAACTCAAACGTACACATTTTTTCACCAAAAAAGTATTGATTATATTTACTGAGAAATTGATAAATATATTAATTTTTAAAATGGGAGTTTAGTTATTTATGCAAATATAGTGTATGTCCAAGAAAATTATTCCTTTTTTTAACTTGTCAACTGCCCTGAAAACCGAAATCTAAAGTATTAGAAAGCAAATTCAGCAAATACAGCTTGACATTACTTTCATTCAAACGAAAGCTCTAAAGGAGGGGGTGTACTAACCCTCAAACTTCCTCGACTGCCTACAGACATCCGCTCTTCATCATCTGATATCTGAAACAGAAGAAAAAAGAAAAAGGGGAGATTAAAACAGCTTCAGGTAAATAAACAGCTTTCTGTTCATCTGCGAGTTTATGAGTTTTGATCAGCCTGATCTCACAAGGAAATGTAAGTATTTTACATTTTGTTAGTTTCGCTAATTGAATTTGTACAAGTTCAGTGGTACAAAAATTAGCTAATTTGAAAAGGAGGCGATGTCCAGATCCAATCACATGATCAGAAATCGGGCCCGATCACGTTATTTTGGATCGGATTCAGACCTTGGGTCTGTTCTTCGTACGTGGATTACTCAGTTAGCTGGATTTAGATATTGACAATTTGACATGATCCAGGATCGTTTCGTTCTTCAAAACTGATCCGAGAGTTGTTGTCATAGCAACAGTTCTGGTAGATCAAACCTGGTCGGGAGCAGGTTTATTTCATAAAAACAGGATTGGATCGGGTCAGTTCAAGCAAAGATAATACTGAAAGTATGTACTGAATTCTGATATTTTCTTACAGTAGTAGTTATATACACTTTGGAAAATATTAGTAAATAGTAAATATTTGTAACTATATATATATTAAGTATATTAATATTAATATTATATATTTAGTTAAAATATATGAAAAAACTTATGCAATCTGCACCCCCGAAATGAAAGTACAGACTGCCACCTGGTGGTGCAAAGTGAAAACTTATTGATATGAACTTTTTAGATCGCTTTAGTACAATTGTTCTAATACAAGTTATTCTTTACACCGATTTTAAAAAATGGCTACTATAAAACTACTATGGCTACTATAATAAGGAAAATCCACTCTTGACACATGAAAGGGCCAAGCATGCAGCCCACAACAAGGTGCAAAGTTATTGCGTGTCATATTTAACAAACCCTTTACTGCAAATTTGATGTAATTTTGCTCACATGGATAATTGAATATTAATCAGATGATGTCATTACGCTGCTTTGCCGTCAGCCAATCGTTGCATTGCTGATCATGATTTCGAGAATCGATAGATCTGTCCTTTACAACACACGCAGCGATCTCAGATCAGTTTATCCAGACATTTTAATCTGATTCACAAACTTGTTTGAAGAACCAAATTAGCCAGAGATCAGTTTTCAAGATGAACTGATCCAGGATCTGCCAAATCATCTTGAAGAACGGACCCCATGCCTCTCAATCAGAACACAAATATATATGGAAGCAGCTTGAAACGCATAGAACGAGCATGTCTGCAGTCTGGAGGTATTATAAAGTTGATGATGAAAACATTGCCATAGCAAACTGTGGGATACGTAAACTTGGGATTGCCTTCCGGCCGGGTATTTTAAGTTGAGGTGCTATTTGGTTTTATATTCGATTTTTTTTATATTTACTGTTGCACTAAAGTTCAAAAGTGAAAAAGTTGTTATTTATTACTTGATTGTTCAAGCTACCTCACAGAAGTGCTCTGTTTGTTAACAGTAATTATATGTTAAAATAAAATGTGAATTAAATAAAAAATAAGGAACATCCTGCTGTTTGTTCTCTCTTCTTTATTAGTTTTTTATGTATTATAGAAGTATCGGATTGGATTTCGATATCAGTAAATACTCCAAATCAAATGTCTCAGATTCTGACTCAAGGGCAAAAAAACCTGATCGGAACATCCCTACCCTAAACCCTACTGTCATTGGGGGATGAGCAAATCGTACTAAATTGCACAAATGAGATCTTATGATTTTATACGAATTCACCTTTATATCAAAAAGTTAAGGGTTGCTGTTAAATTGTGTTGGTTTTGATATATTTGTACCCTGAACTGAGTAATATTTAACTCTTTTAAGAACATCCTTATTTGTTGACATTGTATAACTTAATAATATTAGGGTTGTAGGTTAAGGTTAGGTCTTCAAGTAAAAACATTAGAGGTATATTGGTCTCTTTAAACAGCTACGTAAATATATATGTTTTCAGTTCAGGGCCTCCATAAGTTTTGTTTAAAGTCATTAAAATGTGGTGAAAGTAAAATCTGTCAAAAATATTGGCGCTTATGGAATTTAGTTTTCAAATTCTAAAAAAAAAATTAGTAAGTTGCTATATAAAAATGAGTAAGTAATTTTAATTTTTTACATCTAATGTCTCTGTAATGAACAGCACACTTTAGGAATTTAGCAAAGTTTAAATATTGGAAGGAAGGGATGGAGAAGAAGGAAAAGAGAAAGAATCAGAAAAACCCAAGTTATAATCATAAGCTGCTGATTTTCAACATATCAGGATAGATTCTGATTGCCTATTTTCCTTAGCTATTGAATTGAAAAAATGTTTGAAATACCATTGCATTGGTGTACTGTTAGTACATAAAATCCTAGCATTAAAGGCCATGGCATTTAAATTAAATATACGTTTGTATTGTATCTAACTTCAATGTTATGCACTTTGTGTAGATATTTAAAGATGGCCATATACTGAATGAAGTGACAACACTTTAAAATAAGATTCCACTTGTAACAAGGGCTTCCTGTGAACTGTCTTTCCATTACAAAATTGTCACGTTTAAGATCTGATTTCTTTTAAAATCAGTGATCCTTACTGCCTGTAAGATATACGAGATGAAGTAGGACAAGAAGCACTGCATTAAATTTAGTTTCCCCTTGCTATGTCTTTAAAACATGACAGTTTATTTTAACCCAGTATTTTCAATGGAATTTCTGCGGTGCTCATTTTATGCTTGAACAGCTAAATGAATGATTAAATCTATGTAACTGAATGTATTGTAACTACATTACAACATCAATGCTGTAAAAACAACTTTGTGAAATTGAAAATCCTCACATTAAGCTTTCACCGGAAGTTGTTGGCTATAAAACTCTAGCTGTGCATAGAACCCATTAAAACACATATGTAGAAGTGATGCTGATTGCTTTAAAAGTAACATTTTAGTATGGTGACCTAATGTCACATTTAGCTAACTGCTTATTAGATTGCATGTTGGTTTTTTTATTCATCTTTACTATGTGCATAGTACTGATTTAATCTTGCATGACTATATTCTGCTTCCCTTAATGCCATACCTAAAGAAAACCACTACAACAATGATCTGACTGGCAGTTAATAGACAGTAAATAATGACTTTATTCAATTTTATAAAGTTTTATTGTTACATTTTATTTTAACATTTACTATATATATATAGTATATATATATATATATATATATATATATATATATATATATATATATATATATATATATATATATATATACTATACACACTCACACACACACACACACACACACACACACACACACACACACACACACACACACACACACACACACACACACACACACACACACACACACACACACACACACACACACACAATTGAAACCAGAAGTTTACATACAAAGGGACATAATAGTTTTTAAAAAGTCAGATGTTAATGTGACTAAACTTTTTTTTCTTTTAGGTAAGATAGGATTATCAGGTTTGTTTTGTTGTGTTTAATAGCAGAATAATGAGAGATTTTTTTTTGAGAAATTATTATAATTTTTCTTGTAAGTCAAGTTTACATACAATGAGATTATTATGCCTCTGAAAAAGCTCAGATGATGGTGTCAAGGTTTTGGAAGTTTCTGATTGGCCAATTGACAACAATTGCATTAATTGGAGGCACAGCTGTAAAAGAGTATTTAAAGAAAACCTCAAACACACTGCTTCCTTTTGTGACAACATGGGAAAACCAATAAGCCAGAATAAACAAAAAGCCAGATTACAATTTGCTAAATTCCACTGGGAAAAAATAAAAAAAAAATTTGGAGACATGTCCTGTGGTCTGATGTAACTAAGATTGAACTGTTTGGTTATAATGACCAATTTTACATTTAAAGGGCAAATGAGAAAGCTTACAAGCCACACCATCCCAACTGTGAAGTATGGGGGCGACTGTATCATGTTGTGGGGCTGTTTTGCTGCAGGAGGGACTGGTCCTCTTCACAGTATAGATGGAACCATGGTAGAAAGAACATTATGGTGAAATACTGAAGCAACATCTCAAGACATCAGCCAGGATATTAAAACTTGGCCACAATTGGGTCTTCCAAACAGACCATGACTCTAGGCATACTGCCAAATTAGTTGAAATGTGCTTTAAAGACAACAGAGTGAATGTTTTGGAGTGGCCATTACAAATCCCTAATTTAAGTTCTATAGAAAATTTATGGGCAGAGTTGAAAAAGCTTGTGCGAACAAGTCAGCCAACAAATCTGACTCAGTTACACCAACTCTATCAGCAGGAATGGGTCAAAATCCCTTCAAACTATTGTGCAGATAGGTAGCTAAGTGGCAGGCAGGGGCGGGAACAGCTTACCTTGGTTCTGGCCGGCACGAGTTCCCACGACTTCCCGCCCGTCACAGCGTCTAACAAAGGGGCGGGGTGCGTGGTGACGTCACCGGCATCCCCGCCCCTTTGTTTACACGGCGGGCGGGGAATGCCAGTGACCGCTGTGTACGGATAGAATCAGCGGAGCGGGGAGCGCTCTCTCTCCCCGCTCCACTGATTTTGTCAGTGTACAGCGGTCGGCGCGGGCCACAAAATATTGCACTGAGGGCCGCAAATGGCCCGCGGGCTGCGAGTTTGAGACCCCTGGTCTAGATATTAATAAAATATTCTCAAAAAAATGCTCTCATTATTCTGGCATTTAGCAAATGTAAATCATTTGAGTAATCCTACATTTTAGGAACTATAATTCTTACAACCTAAAATAGTAGTTCATACTAAACATTTAGTATGACATATAGTAATAAACATTTAGTATGATTTACCATCAGACATTTTTTTTAAAAATCGTTATGTTCCTTTTTTTAGAGTGTATGCAAACTTCTATATATATATATATATATGTATATGTATATGTATATATATATATATATATATATATATATATATATATATATATATATATATACTAAGAACATGACATGAAGGATTACGGTATAATATACAGTCTATACTAGCATGTTTTTGTGGTTTATTTTTTTGTCTTTAACCCCCTCCTTCCTAAGAGCCTGCTCTACTCTGATTAGTCAAAAGGCCCTGTGTGCTGTGATTGGTCTAACGCTTAAAACTTGTCAGAAATGAAATGGCCATTACCATATCTGCCAGGATATTCATTCATTTATAGATTGTAAACAATGTACAAAGAAATAACTGCTTTGATTTTACAATATAATTAGAGGTACAATTTGATAATTAAACATTGGAAGGACTTGTTCATCCAACAGAAACTCTATTTAAAGTGTGCTTTAGCGGTTGTTTTAAACTAGCTTGAAGTGTATTAGGGCGTTAATAAAAAATATTAGGAGAATAAAAGCTTAAGACAAAAAAGCAGAGGCAGAGATACAGACCGAGGTATGTCTCCGAGTGTGGCGGGAATACCGCTCACTGTCCTCCTGAAAAGCAGAGCAGGAAAAACAGGACAGAAACCAGGAAGTTTTAGGTCAGAAAGTCACATGGTTATCAAACACCAGGAAAAAACTGAACAAAGCATGCACTGAGAGATTATGCTGTCTGTCATATCATGGTTTATTACAGGGCTTAGACAGGGTGTCTGGAGGGGTGGGAGGGGAGGGTTGAGAGCTTTAAGATGTGGGTCACGCGACCGCCCTATAATCCCGCTGTATGTTATGACCACCTCTGCTAAGCCCTAACATGTCAGATGGGCCTCCTGCCCCCCACTGCTCCAGTAAAGCCTGTGAAATGAGGATCAGACACAGACTACATGCAACATCAACCAATCACATTTCACTCTCTGAAGGATGCTTTAAAAACATGGTGGTAGTTACAATTAAGTGCCCCTATTACGCCATTTAAAAGGTTCATTGTTTTCTTTAGAAGGTCTCCTCTGATACATGCATGTTTACATGCATTGACAGTCAAAAAACATTAAATTTACCTTGATATTTATAATCACCTCACTTTTCATACACTCTCAAACAATTAATTTGATTAATCTTGTTTTTTAAGCCCTTTTTTTGCTAAGAGCCTGCTCTGCTTTCATTAGTCAAATGGCCCAGTTTGTTGTGGTTAGTCTAATAGTGAATGCTATGCAATATCTGCCAGGACATTCCCTCCCTCAGTAATTTTTCACTGTACAAAATATCTTTTACAGTTTCTGTATTTTGTGATTCGCATGTTTTCACATTATGTGCATTATGTGACCATGATATCTGCTCTGTCGACTTTTGATGTTAAAAATGTAACTTTACAATTTAACAAATTGACATTTTTGACATTTTAGTAGTTTGATATAATATAAAGTTTAAGAAATAATATATATGTATACAGTATATATATAGATATCTATAGATAGATAGATAGATAGATAGATAGATAGATAGATAGATAGATAGATAGATAGATAGATAGATAGATAGATAGATAGATAGATAGATAGATAGATAGATAGATAGATAGATAGATGATAGATAGATAGATAGATAGATAGATAGATAGATAGATAGATAGATAGATAGATAGATAGATAGATAGATAGATAGATAGATAGATAGATAGATAGATAGATAGATAGATAGATAGATAGATAGATCGAGTTTCAGAATGGGGAAGCAAGGTGATTAAGTTACTTTTAACAGAGCAATGCTGTTGGTGCCAGACGGTCTGGTCTGAGTATTTCAGAAACTGCTGATCTACTGAGATTTTCACACACAACCATCTCTAGGGTTTACAAAGAATGGTTCGAAAAGAGCAAATATCCAGTAAGCGGCAAATGCCTTGATGATGCAGGAGTCCGCATGGTGGTCAGATTTTGGCGTCAACAACATAAAGGCATGGATCCATCCTGCCTTGTATCAACGATTCAGGCTGGAGATTGTGGTGTAATGATGTCGGGGATAGTTTCTTGGCACACTTTGGGGTCGTTAGTACCAATTAAGCATTGTGTCAATGCCACAGCCTACCTGAGTATTGTTGCTGACCATGTCCATACCTTTATGACCACAGTGTACTCAACTTCTGATGGCTAAGCCCAGCAGAATAATGTGCCATGTCAGAAGCGTGAATCTCAAACTGGTGTCTTGAACATGACAATGAGTTCACTGCACTCAAATGGCCTCCACAGTCACCAGATCTCAATCCAATAGAGTACCTTTGGGATGTGGTGAAATGGGAGATTCTATCATGTCAATATGGACCAAAATCTTTCCAGCACCTTGTTGAATCTTTGCCACGAAGGATTAAGGCAGTTTTGAAGGCAAAAAGGGGTCCAACCAGGTACTAATGAGGTATACCTAATGATGTGGCCGGTAAATGTGTATGAGAAATAATAGAGAAATTTTGTTACTTTTCAGATAAAGTAATTCATTTTTAATGCTGTGATTAGCGATTGGCAATTTACTTCTTTTTCGAAGTAATACCCAACACCATTTGAAACTTTGCAGACCTTTTACATTTACAAACAGCTACATTACATTCAACATGAAGGGTAAGATAAAAAAAGGATAATAGGGGCACTTTAAGGTTTGATTTACTGCATTCGGGACCTGTGCTGCATGCATTTTCTAATGTAATTTCTATCTCTTGCGGTCTACTGCATGCGGCAGTGTGGTATAATGACAGGTCATACCATCCACTGTTCAATATGGCCCCATTTGCTGTCCAGCCCATAGTATTTCTGGTGCAGAGAGGAGGAGAGCAAGACGATCAAATGATGAAGGGTTATGGAAGTAAAGGAGGATATTAAAAACAGGTGTGAAAGAGAACTTGAGTTTAAATGTGGAATTGATCCTGGTTTTGGCTATATTTCTGTAACCTGATGTCCGTAAAATTGACAGCTGAACAGATGTAAAACAATGAAAAGTGCTATAGCTTGTATTTCTAATGATCAAATATGATTATGTCAGGGAGAAATGAAGGGTATGAAGAAACAGATCTTACCTTTTGCGCGTGATAAATCTAGTTTTGCAGCAATAAAACAGAGGAAAAGAAGAAAAGGAGTAAAAAAAAGAGAAAATACTGAGAAAATGATATAAAGAGCGAATGAGTAGAATGTAGAGAGAATGAGTAATCTCTGATGCAGAGAATACTAATTTAACAGCCTAAAAAAACATATTTGCATAATCTATGAAAAATACCTACTAAAGTGATGCTTGAATGCCAGCCAATTTTATATTCATATCAAGAATAATAATTAATAAAGTAATTTACCTTCATATTCTGGGAGATACATTTAACATGCTATTTTAATTTGAGACAAAAACTGTTAATTATTTTTAGGAAAAAAGAGAAAATTGTATTGTTACAATTAAAAACTTTAGAAACTAGCAGTATTAATTTAATAATAAAAAACAAAAAAATATACTTTTTAAAATTTTACTTTAAATAGATGTGGATGTTTTTTGCTATTTCTGCAGAGAATTTTTGTAAAAATCTGTGGATTTCTGCTGAATTATTTTGGGAGTATCATAACTAAATTCTTAATATGTAAAATGCAAAATAATATCTTTTTAACTTGTAATTAATGCTTAAAATGCAAATCCAATTAGATTCACTTTACTTGGTAAACAAAACAAGTCTCTCATATATTGTATATACTAAAAGACAATACATTTTACTGTACAAACTGCACTGTCCATAAATCAGATCAAAATTTTCACATTAGTCAATAATATTATTGTAATTAATAAAAAAATTAATAAATATAGATTTACACACATTTACTTAAGTAAATAAACAGAATTAATGATGGGCTAAAAATCTGCGCACGTAGATTCTGTGTGGGCCTAGATATAACTGAAAAATTTAAATAATTAAACAAGCAAACAAACAAATAAATAAATAAATAAACACAATAGTTGGCATTTCAATCCGAACCGAGATAAATAAAGGGACTAAGTCGAAGGAAAATTAACAAATGAATGAATAAATAAATAAACAATGATGCTTTTTTATTTATTTATTCTGTATTTAGTGGAGTTTTGTTGTTGATGTTCTTTACTTTAATAAACAAATTCAGCCTTATCGAGCTTTCAATTATCGAGCTTTCAAAACATTTTAACAACACTAATCTTTCCGATATGTATAAAGACACATGATAGCAGTTGGATAACACTCTGGACTATTCATAAACCATTCATACAACAATTAGATCTGTTATAAACAAAAGAAAAAATATTTTAGAATATAATAAATAATATTATTTTTCAAAAGGTAAGCTATTCTATAATGACCTTTTATTTATTCTTTGATTCATTTCTTATCTTTTCGACCTAGTCACTTTATTAATCTGGGGTCGCCACAGCGGAATGAACCGGCAACTTATCCAGCACATGATTTACGCAGCGGATGCCCTTCCAGCTGCAACCCACCACTGGGAAAAATCCATACACACCAATTCACACACATACATTATGGACAATTCAGCCTACCCAATTTACCTATCCCACGTTTTTTTGGACTGGAGCACCCGGAAGAAACCCACGCGGACATGGGGGGGAACATGCAAACTCCACAAAGAAATGCCAACTGACTCAGCCGAGACTTGAACCAGGGATCTTCTTGCTGTGAAGCGATTGTGCTACCCACTGCAACACCGTGATGCCCTAATAACTTTTTACTTTTATTAGTTTTTTTATTTCATTAAAGGATAATTGAAAATATGTAACTCTGCCTCTTAGCTGCATTTTTCAATGGTACAACATGGGTTTATTAAAAAAAACAATGTCATGTAAAAATTTACAGAATGACTTTAAAAGCATGTTGCTTATCATATCTAAACATCTCCCAAATGCAGTACACTAAACCCTTAACCTAACTAATAATAGGATAAAATAGGTCTTGCAAAAGCAGCCATGTCTTTTTTGTCTTGATTTGTATGTAGACGTGAGCTCTATAAGCCCTTGTAATCAATCTGGCCCAATATTATTGATATTTAAATGGCATATGGATACTGCAGTAAAATATGTATATGTATGTGTGTATTATTTTTAACAACTGTGCAAAATAAGGGCATAGTCACATACTGTACACTGTAAAAAATACTGGGTTCCACACAATTGTCCTAACACCAACCGATTTAGGTTAACTGTTTTTACAAATTTAAGCAGATTGAAACGTGTCCCAAAAAAATCTCAAGAATTGTGATGTGTCAGCTCATTTTAAATGGGTTGTTTCACCAAGCAGCAACTATAATTTTTAAGTGTATTTCCTACTAGTTTGATTTGGTTCTTTAAAAAAAAATCTCACACAGGCAAGAGCGCTGCTTTGAATTTTTGACAGTGCTTCAGATATAAAATATTGACATAAAGTTTAAATTCACCATCCAATTTTACAGTAAACAATCAAACACCTGGATATTTATTGCAGCAATTAATATATTTTAGGCTTGCTATATGTTTGGCAACATTTCATATAACCCTAATTGATATAGTGTGTAGTTTCTTACACATACTGAAAGACATGCTTGAATTCTGGAAAGACAATACCGATGTTATTTGGGCTCAAATTATTGCAGAATGTGCAGTTGCTTCATAGTAGGCTAACTAGGTACTGTATACTGTAGTTTACAAAGTGGTTTTTACCCAGGGTCAAAAACAGTACTGGCCATTTTGGAGATCATCTTTAGCTTTGATTATGCCATTGTTTCAACATTACAAAGTTTATTTCCATTAAAAGCTGCATTATTTTTTGACAGACATCTTGTATGTGACCCTGAGGATTTTGCCATCTATTGCAGCTCATCACAAAGACATTCAATTGGTTTCGGCTCATTTGGTGGTCAATTCATTTGTCAAAATAAAGCCTTCAGTCACAGCTTGAGTCTGATAAATCTTGGCATCAGCTTCCTGGAAATATGATCTTAGGATACGTCTTTGGATGTGGTTGTTTAAGACAGAAACATCTACACACTGCATCATTTACGCTAATAAGGATGGTTGCCAAATAAATAACACGCTAGAAGCATATTAATCACTGCAGTAAACATCCAATCATAGACTCAATTAAATGGATAATTCACCCTAAACTGAACATTTAGTCACTATTTACTCAGACTCAAGCAGTTCCAAACCTTATGAGTTTCTTAATGGTGAACGGAAATGATGATATCAAGCTCGCCAATGGTAACTACCAACTTCCATAATAGAAAAAACAAATACAATGTAAGTCAATGGTTACTCATTTTTAGCCTTTTTCATAATATCATATTTTGTGTTTAACAGAAGAAAGAAACTCAAACAGGTGTTACGTTCCAGATATGTTTTGTGTTTGTTTTCTGTTTCGCTTTTTCTTCAGTTTTTCGTTGTGTACTCTCAAAGACTATAGATAAACAAGACATGTCACTCGTATCTTTTTGAGTGGGGAAAAGTGTAACGGTCAATATGGTGAATAAAGCCCCGCCTAGTAAAGGAGCCAATCATTGGTCGCTATAGACTGATGATACTCCGGGGGAGGGCCCAGGCGTGAGTTTCTGCAGATTTTGTGATTTGGATGTTTAGAAATGAAACTACAGATGTTTAATATTATTGGTAATTCCTAATATGAAATTTAATCTTAAGCTTGGCAAGCAGTTTGAATAATTTGACGGTTCCCAACTCAGACAGAATGCCTGAGCATACTGCCCGAGAGGTCTTTCAAAGATGGCCGCCAAGTGAAATGACTTAAAGGGATTGGTTGAGAAGGCTGTCAATCACCATTATGACGCAACTCAGCGCACCAATCAGGAGCTGGTCTGTCGCATTTAAAAGGTGTTAGCTTTTGCTTTCCTGCCTGGTTCTACACCAAACTCCTCACTTGTGGCGACCAGCCTGTTCATTTGTGTTCTTATTATTTTGATTGTTGTTTAGTTTGTTTCTTGTTTAAGTGCTTTATTGTTTAGATAAGTTTGAGCAGCTCAATTTACTCAATTACTCAATTATTAGAAAGTCGAATGATTTTTATGAGAATTGGATTTTCAGAAAAGCTTTTGTTTTGCTAATTGCTAACAGTGTGTACTTTACAAGAACTCCAGTAATTTGGAGTAGAATAGTATTTAGTTTTAGTTAATGGAGGATTTGCCACACTTGTAATTATGGCAAGCCATTTTGAAATTTCATCTATAACCCGTACTAGTATCTATTTTCATGTTACTAGTGCTTATTTTTTAGATACTAGTATCTTTTCCATGAAGTGCTAGTGCCTATTCATTAGATTCTAGTGCCTATTATTTAGATACTAGTGCTTTATAAAAACATACTAGTGCTTATTCATCAGACACTGTTTCTTTTTATTAGATACTACTACTCATTCATTAGATACTATTCATTAATTCAATCATTTTCTTTTTGGCTTAGTCCCTTTATTAATCAGGGGTCACCACAGTGGAATAAACCGCCAACTTATCCAGCATGGTTTTATGCAGCGGATGCCCTTCCAGCTGCAACCAGTCACTGGGAAACACTCATTCACACTCATACACTATTGACGATTTAGCTTACCCAATTCACTTGTACTGCATGTCTTTGGACTTGTGGGGTAAACCAGAGCACCCGGAGGAAACCCATGCAAACATGAGGAGAACATGCAAACTGACCAAGCTGACCAGAAATGCCAAATGACCAAGCTGAGGCTCGAACCAGCGACCTTCTTGCTGTAAGGCGACAGCACTACCTACTGCGCCACCGCGTCGCCTCATCATATACTACCAATTAAATAAATTCTAGTACTTATGTGTTAGATACTAGTACGTGTTCATTAGATAGTAGTATCTATTTAAAAGATACTAGTACTTATTAAATAGATACTAGTTCTTTGTATATGTATACAAAGTGACTATATACCTTACTAGTACGTATTTTTATAGTGACTAGTAACTATTCTGTTGTTACTAGTAACAAATGTAATTTCTTTCTATTGATTTCTATGGGATCTGTCATTGAGATATCAACTATTCAGTTTTGACTAGTATGTATTCCTGCTGGGACTGGTACATATTTTATGTACAAGTTAATCCTTAGGCACTAGTACTTATAAATTAGATACTAGTATTTAATAAGAGATAATAGTACTTAAATATTAGATACTAGTACTCATTCATTAGGTCCTAGTACTTGTTAATTAGATACTAGAGTCTATTTTATAGGTACTAGTCCTTATTAAATAGATACTGGTACCAATTCATTAGATACTAGTAGTAACTATTTCGTATATACTAGTTGTTATCCATTAGTACTAGTATTTATTTATTTATTATACACTATTATCGTTTATAACTATTACTAGTAGCAATTCTTATTTTACTAGTCAGTTCTACTTTTTTACTCGTCTTATGTTATGACTAGTCCAAATGGAAGAGTAGAATTCGATTTAACATTTCAAACAAGTAATTGTATTTAATAAATGCAGTATGTTTTAAATAAGCTGCAGTATCTATTTCATAAGTACTAGTTTCTATTTAATAAGTACTTGTATCTAAATAATAAACACTAGTGTCTATTAAATGTATCCAACACGTAACACAGACTTGTAACATGTAAAGTGTGAGTAAATGATGACAGAATTTTTGTTTTGGGTGAACTATCCCTTTAAATCCATTTATTGATTATTTAAGAAGTAAACTATTTAACTACACGAGATTGCATTGGTACACTGAGTTTTTTTTTAGTTATTAAACTATTCCATAAAGATTAAATTTGTCTAATTTTTTTGACATTTATTTCCTGAGCAATTACAATACATGTTGTCCCAACACAAATCACTTAAGTAAACATAATTGTTTTTACAAATGTTGTCCAAATAAATCTTAAATTGTTATTTTAAATGCATTTTTTGAGTCCATGTTGAATCATCAGGAAACCAAAAAATAAGTCCTTACATTCAGATTATTTTAGCTTGCTGTGTAAAAGCGCAGTACCTGAGTGACTTGTTACAGCAGAGAGAAGAAAGACAGGCTACAATGTTCTTTCTTATACAATAAGCATACAGAGTACCATACCATGTTACATACTAAAGCTTTAAATAAAGATTGATCTAGTGTATATGTAATGCCACTGTGAAAGAGCTATTACTGCAATACCTCACAACACAGGCTATTTCTTACAGTCTAAAAAGAAATAGCAGAGTCTGCCAAACAGATTATCTCCTGACCTCTTTCTGTTGCCTCTCCAGTTCCTTCATACGGATTTCTCGAGCTTCTGCCCGGGCTGCCCGTTTAGCTGCCAATCTTGCCTCCGCCTGGAAGAGAGTCAAAAATGGAGATTCAGAAGCTGTCAAATACAGAAAAAAAATCAGTATCCATCCACTGTTACCATAAATATCGACTATTTACCAGCGCTAGTGAGAACGTCAAGACGGTATGACGGAGGGAATCCGTTTCTGCTTAAGCTCTATGCAAAGTAAAAGCTAAATCTGAAGTTGGGAAGAGTTTCTTGGAGTGTAATTGAATTAAGCTTTTCGCAGACTTTCAATGATCATAGGTTTAATCTCATCATTGACTTTACCTGCCGAAATAAGCGCTAATTATGTTTGATTAAGGACCATTGAAAATGATGATTCTCGCTGTTGAGAAAATCAGGGCAGTTTAAGGAAAATGTAATCAACTTTTATGTGACCAAAAAAGTGTCATTACTATGTATTATATTATTTGAAATGCAGGTTTTCAGATGAAGAATGAATGAGCACATGCTTTAGAATTTAAAATAATACGAATATATAAATAAATAAATAAAAAAATTAAATAAATAAATAAATAAATAGTTAAATAAATAGTTAAACAAATAATTTATAAAAAATAAATAAATAAATAAACATGAAAGTGTTTTCTGCAGTAAATAAATAAATAAATAAATAAATAAATAAATAAATAAATAAATAAATAAACAACCCACACTAGACAATTAATTTTAAGTGACTTTAAATGTGACATTTGTATGATTTGTAAAAGGTGAGCTACTCAATATAAACTTTTACTCTCAAAAATTAAGAAAGAATAATTTCAATACAGGGTAATTGGAAAAATTTTAGTCCGCTTACTGTTTTAGAGCAGTAAGATTTTTTTTAGTTTTTAGCTCATCATGCCTGCATTTATTTGCATATAGTACATCAAAACTATAAGAATACTATTCAAAATAACTTTAAATAATATCTGAAAATTCTATTTATTTCTGAATTAGCATTATTGCTATTGATGAATTGTTTGGCTTGTCTCATTAGCTAAGTATCTGCATTTGAAAAGGTGTGAACCGAATGGCCTACAGAAACTCATGGGTTGGACCCAACCAAAAGAATTGTGTTCCTCAGGAAGTTCCAGTAGAGCAATCTGATACATTGGCAAGTCACCTAACTACGGTTAAGCCAAATGATAAAACAATATTGATCTTTTGTAAATCATACTAATATTCAGATTTTCTGTTAAATAATTACATAATAATAATGATAATAATAATAATAATAATAATAATAATAAAGTATTATTATTATTATTCATTCATTTTTTGTCGGCTTTGTCCCTTTATTAATCCTGGGTCGCCACTGCGGAATGAACCGCCAACTTATCCAGCAAGTTTGGATAAGCGGATGCCCTTCCAGCCACAACCCATCACTGGGAAACATCCACACACACATTCACACACACACTCATACACTACGGACAATTTAGCCTACCCAATTCACCTGTACCGCATGTCTTTGGACTGTGGGGGAAACCGGAGCACCCGGAGGAAACCCACGTGAAGGCAGGGAGAACATGCAAACTCCACACGGAAACGCCAACTGAGCCGAGGTTTGAGCCAGCGACCTACTTGCTGTGAGGCGACAGCACTACCAACTGCGCCACTGCCTTGCCCATTATTATTATTATTATTATTATTATTATTATTATTATTATTATTATTATTATTATTATCAACAGTTCAGTACATTTTTCACAATTTTTAATGGCTAAAGTGAGACAAAGATCAGAGTTTACTAAAATTAAAATTATTTGTAGCTTCATACACTTTACCATTCAAAAGCTTGTATCAATCAGTACAATGTTTTGTAAAGATATTATAAAAATGTATACTTTTATTTAGCAAGGATGTTTGAAGTTGATCAAAAGTAACAAAAATAGAATCATTTATAAGTTCAGACAAGATTTGTTGTTAAGATTGCTGTTCTGTTCTTCATCAAAGACAGCAGAAAAAAACTCTACTCAAGTTTTTAACAATAATAATAATAATAATATAAAATGTTTTTTGAGTAGGAAGTCAGGATATTACAATGATTTCTGAATGTGATTTTTTTTTCTGACAATGATTTCTGCATGTTACTGGATTAAACATCTTTGCAATCACAGGAATAAATTACACTTAAAAATTTTCAAATGGAAACAGTCAAATATAAACAGAAATAGTTGTTTTATATAGTAAAATACTCTATTTCAGAGTACTGGTGGTTTTTCTGTACTTTGGATCAACCAAGTGCAGAATTGGTGAGCAAAAGATACTTCTTTAAAAAAATACATATCTCTTTGCTTTAAAATGTTTACATCGATTAAGCAGCAATTATTCTGCTAGGATTTTGCTTTCCAACGTTGACCGGAAATGGCAGTTTAGAGGCAGTGAGTGAGCTATTCCTTCCTGGCACAATGTGTGTATGAGTGTGTCTCAAGCTGGTATACTTAATACACTTCATTATTCCATCATTTGGCATTAAATTATACCAACTATATTTAATCTTGATAAATATCTTCATTAATCATCATTTCCAATTCCTTACACCTGAATAAGCACTGTTATTATGTATGAATCAGTGCCATGTTCACTTCAAACAATCTTTCATCCAAACAGAGCAGACACTGTTCTCATAATAACGATGTGCTGAAAAATAACTCTAACAAAATATCTGCCAACAAATCCTACATTTGACTAGTATAAGAACATCTGTGGATTACAAAAACAGTTAATCGTTAATACAAAAATGGAATATAAGAAAGATAGCATAACTCTCCCATATTTTGCATTCAAAGATCTATATGTTCAATTCCATAAAAACATGTCAAATAATAAATTAGTTTGAAATTTCATTTTAATTTTTGAATGCAATATGCTTTGAAAGATTTTTTTTCGAAGTACCTTTTATATTTCAATATTTCTCTGCAAGCCACAGATCCTAATGTTGATTTTGCTATGGCGACTAAGTGATAATGGCATCAGCATACTGGTGAAAAACTTGTCAGTGTCTTCGCGATTACACAGGGGGGTGAAGGCTCTGGCAACAAAGTTACTATGGTGGTTACTACTAATAATTGGGGGAAGCACATTTATTTTAAACTATTTTAACTATTCAAAACTGATTCGAACTACTTTTATTACCTACTGCATTACATAATTTTATTGCAAAACTTCCAGTCAATCACAATTAAGTATTTCAACAGACGATGGAATATTGGTATGAGTTTCAAAAGTTATTTATTAATTGTTATTATCATTGTACACTTTACTCATTCATTTTCCTACAGCTTAGTCCCTTTATTCATCTGGGGTTGCCACAGCAGAATGAACCGCCAACTTATCCAGCATATGTTTTTACAGCGTATGCCCTTAAAGTTGCAACCCAGTACTGGGAAACCTTCATGCACGCTCATTCACCATAGCCAATTTAGCTTATTCAATTCACCTATACAATTCACCAACGCCTTTATAGTCTTTGGACTGTGGGTTAAACCAGAGCACTCAGAGGGAACACACACTAAGACAGAGAAAACATACAAACTCCTCACAGAAGTGCTAATTGACCCAGCTGGGACTCGAACCAGCAACCTTGCTATGAGATGACTAACCACTAAACACTGAGAAACTGTGTTGCCCCTTATACTTTACTAAAAAACAATATTTTTTTGTTAATGGCAACTCTTTAAATAAAAGAAATGCTAAACTCAATAGGCACTAGTACTATATACATTTATATTGTTGCTCAGAATGCTAAAGAATACATTGGATACTATGTTGAATGGCCATTGATTAATCTTTATTAAATTCTCTTTTTTTTCTTTTTTTTTTTTACAATTACAATATACAATTACTTACATTCCTTAAATTATTCAAACATGTATAAATACCACATAGCTGACCTTAAACCACAAAACCTTAAGGGTTTGTTTCGGAAATCTAGATTTATACTTCATCTGAAAGTTGAATACATTTTGGGATAGGACAATATTTAACTGAGATACAACGTTAAAACTTTGAAAATATTGAAGGGTTCTAAATATTAGGAACTTAGTGGAAGATGATCTTTACTTAATATTCTAATGATTTATTATAAATAATAACAATCAATCACTTAAACTCATACAATGTATTTTTTTTCCCCATATTTATATATCTGCAACATAAGACTTTTTGGTTAAACTTTTGGTATTAATGCTCTTTGTATTTGATTTTGTGTGTGATGGTGTAATCAGTTCATTGACGTTCATTGATTATATAAATAATATTTATATATATTGTAAATAAAAAAATAAAAATTAAATATATATATATATATATATATATATATATATATATATATATATATATTATTTTTTTTTTCGATAGTCTAAAGAACAAACCATCCATCATTATAAAATAACGTGGCAAATTACCTTAACCTGCACAGTTAACCTAATTAACCTAGTTAAGCCTTTAAATGTCACTTTAAGCTGTATAGAAGTGTCTTGAAAAATATCTAGTCAATTAATATTCACTGTCATCACGGCAAAAATTAAATAAATTAGTTTTTAGAAATGAGTTATCAAAACATGTTTAGAAATGTGTTGAAAAAACTTCTTTCCGTTAAAAAGAAATTTGGGAAAAAATAAACAGGGGGCTAATAATTCTTCAACTGTATATATATATATATATATATATATATATATATACAGGGCTGTTTAATCCTGGTTTTATAGGGCTTGGAGCACTAAATAAATAAATAAAAAGAGAAGAAAAAAAAAAACGAAACACTAAGAAAGAATGTATATTTGTGTGTAACTGTGTAAAATTACTTAACCCAAATTGAATTTGACACTCGTGTTGTTTGTAGTTTTTGCACATCTATTCAGACATAACCTTCAAGATATTAGTCAAAATAACAAGCTCGCCAGGTGACATGAACAGACAGTTAGAAAGCCGTTCTGGTTCTTTTGTCTGAACAAGTCACAGCCCATTGAATAAGGGGCTTCAGACAAGCGTCTGTCCTAAATCCTGCCAACCATG